CGCAAATGTCAAAACCCTGTTTTCATTTCTGAGGTTTTCAGATGTCATACAAAACCGAGCTCACTTGAAACCACCAAGCCAAAACGATGCTCCACAGAACCTGGACACCTGTGGCTATGTCCTGCCTCACCTACATCTGAATACTGTCTATGTATGCGCAGAGCAAGGCCTCCAGGTGCCTCCAAGCCTAAGAATCCCAGCGACCCCAGCCGCTTGCACGCATTCAGTTTGGTTTGTTTACAAAATGCATCACAATCTGCAGCTGTGCGCCAAATGCAAGGTTTTCACGCATCCACCATTTTTTTTTCTCAACACCACAGCACGAAAGCAGAGCCTGCCGCAAACACTAGCAAGGCGGGATAGATAATTTTACTCCACGTAGCTATCTTTTCCGAGGAAAGTTGGCTACTAAAATGCATCACTCCCGAAATGCAGGAGTAAAAAGCTCAAGAAATACCTTCTTAATTAAGCTTACAAGATGAATATCACCATTTAAGCACTTGTATTAACAGATTTTAAGTCAAATCAGCTGACAACAAAATTTTGCGAGAAATGTTCCAGTCCTTATATTTATTTAGCTACTTTTGTTTTTATTGGTATCATACGAGTGTGATACTGCTTTATTCTTCCTTCCTTTTTGATTGCCTTTAGAGGTACCATCTGCTGCTTAAACTTTTGACCAAATTCTCTGCAAGATGCTGCAACTGCAAACTTGTACGCAATTCATACCTAAATTGACTTAATTCGCCAGTCGCCCAAACATGTTTGATATGCACCCAAGCGTGAACAATTCACAGGGGATGACGGGGACAATTTGAAGCGCGGAACTTATTTTCACCGCCATTTTTGCCCTTTTAAACTCCCGGTCATCCGTTTTCTTGGTTCATGGGGTTGCTCCATAATGATAAATCTAAACCTTTCGAGTGTCCGACTCACCATGCTACCTGGCTAGGCTTTGCTAATGCAGGGCCCTAGGACCGACCTGACGCAGCTAATGCAGAAATGTTTGATGGCGAAATTCTGACCTCTGGAGATGTTTATCATGCACACCTCCTTGTTTTGCATTTTAGTCTCGTAGGTTGGTGAGCATGATGGTGGCATTTATATTTAGGGGTGAGTGGGATCATGCAAAAGGTTCTGACTTTTTTGGGGGGGAGGGGAGGGCAGGAAGAAGCCAGTAAGTCTCGTGTGGACCAAGTAATTGCTTACCGTACCTGCTTTCAATACATGATTGGTAACCAGAGTTGGCCATTTTCTGTTTCAATCCATCGAGTTTTACCATAAGACAAATTATGATGCCACAAGGTATGCAATGGGCTTATTTTGCACCATATTCCTGGTTATTTGCCCTAAATTTCTTAAAGTAATCTCTCATGGCATGGATCTCTCATGACCGGCAAATGACTACTGTATATATGCAGTATATTGTTAACACAGGGATACTCTAAGCTGCATAGCAACTATAAGATGAGTTGAATATTAGTTTGTAACAAATAGTCAGACCATCCCATTCAAAATATGAAGCCAACATCTCAAACTTTACCATTAAATATGAATAAGCAAGCCTAAATGGATGCATTTGCTGCAGCTGAAAAGGCAAGCAGCAATACTGACATGGTCATCTAACAGTTATGTTACTTTTGGAGAAGAGAGATTGTTTTGTGGAGCATGCCCTTTATTGCCGTTGACATGAGTTAACCATGACGATCAAAATAAGTTGTTCAAAGTGATTTAGAGTGTTTTGATTTGTGTGTTGTCAACTTTGTCTGATTTCAAGAAGTATACACAAATGAACTGAATAAAAATGCAAGTTGAAACCAGCCCAAAACTAGCTTTAGATATCATGTTTTTATCACAAGTGCTGCTCTCAACATATAGGTGAGTTGAGATGATGTTCATCACATGGGGCATTCTAAGTTAGATTAAGTTGGTCAAGTGCATGGCAAGTGGCAGTGGGAATTGTGCAATCAGTAACTCACAATTGCTGATGTGATACAAACAGGTTGTACAGGATGAAATGATGTGAGGCCTTTTGGGGTTAGGCATAGGCTACTCTCATAGAAATAAGCATTGGTATTTTGGGAGAAAGAGTGGCAAAATGTTTATGTTCCCTGACCCCATCTTAACAGAAGCCAGAAGTATGTCTATTGTGTTTGACTTGGTGATGGGCTGACGTGTGGGATCCCAAGGTTTTTTGTTGGAGTGTTTTTGTCTTGCTGAATTTCCAGCTGTTATTTTGTTATTGACTTCCTTTGCTTTGTTTTGTTTTAAAGGTGCTGTGGAATGGAATTGGAAAGTGCAGCATCAAATTATTGGTGTTAATAATGTGTTATGCTCATAATACTGCCATGAAATTACTATGATTTAGCACGCGCCCGGTTGGCCGGCTAGATAGCCTCGCTCAGGTGAGGGGGTCAATTTGACCCCCCCTACGAAATCTCGGAAACAATAAGAGCTAGAGACACCAAATTTACAGGGTGCCTTGACCTATAAGCGAAGTCACTTAGGTTAGGGTTTCGGCTCCCTAGGTTATGACCTTCAGGTCAAATAAGGTCAAACGATGTCAAACTCCACGTTTGTCTCCAAAGCGCCCCGAGAACCAAGGCAACTGTCTGTATGCAAAAGGTCACAAGCCCATGTGAGGTCTTTGACCTTGTTTGACTTTTTGAAGGTCATGGTGACCAAAATGATACAAGACTGCTCCGAGTTTTGCATTTGAATAAGCGACGAAGATTGCGCTAGGCGGTATGCTCCTAAAACAAAAAGTTCGACCCGGGTCATCTTAGGTCAATGGCCTGACCTCTAAGAAGTCAATGGAAGATGTATAATGCGGTTCCTGTCGTCAATAAATTGGAAATGAGCACCAGAAACTATCCCATAAGGAAGCCCTAGAGAAATAAATCAGGTTGGTTTTGACCTCGGCCTGACCTTCATAACTGACCTTAGGTCAACGTAATTTGCTCATTCAATATTTGTGGTGCCTAAGAAAGCATCTCAGAGATGTATGTATTCGTCAAAAACCCCGTTGTTGTATCAGATTGAACGATTCCTTAGAAATTGCCTTCACTGAAACCACTGGCTAACTTTAACTTGTAATAGTTTGGCCACCTTACAGGGTGCATCTCAAATATGTATGTCAAACAATCCGCTGTGCAATTTGCTTTCGATCGACAGCTCTCTGAAAAGGAAGCCTTTAACTCGTGAACCCTATGGGCTAGTAGGAAAAGTATGCCGTAGAGCGGCTGTGCTACCAACGTATTTCGGTGAGGGCTGCTTCCTATACGTAAAACCGTCAATTTGCGTCTTGGTCACCTCTGATGAACGACGAACTTCACAAAGTATCGTCGATCACAGTGGATCGACTTATTTAACGTTTTGCTGTGCATTGTTCTTCATTACGCCTTTTACACAAGGATGCAGCTTCACATCACCTTGAAATTGGAAGTTATTTCTCCGTGGCGGAACAGTTTTGCTGCACATAATTTATTTAATAAAAGCTTTCTTTTCAAATTTAACACAGCGACGCGAATGAAAGTGGCCGATGTCCGAAGAAAAATCAAGATATGGGATCTGATTAGGTCGACCTTATCGGCCAAGCCTTCCCCCTCCCCTCCCAAAGATCTTAGTGTTCTCCAGCGCCCGGTCACCAGCTTTTACCTATCTTCCTTTCCAGTTATCGACATGTATGTTGGGAAGGTCGTGAAAGCTCAGTTTTACTTAAAGTTGTAAGCCTAACCTAGGGGTTCCATATCATGGAGGCCACGGAACTTATTATGTTCCATATCCTTGAAGCTACGGAACACGGAAAAAATCCGCAGTTCCTAGTCTGTTGGTCGCGTTAGCCCACTCTCTTCGTCGCGTTAGCCGACGCCATTGTTCATGCAATCATCTTTTGCGCCTTGGACCATTGTTGATGAATGCAAAACACTACCCAATTTCCTTGATCATAACCAGCTGATTTGCAACTAAATTTTCGTCCGCCGTTACATCCCATTCCGTATTTTTCATGAAAATGCATCTTTACATTTGCTTGCAATGGGATGCTCCACAAAAGTAAAGCAATTTTGGAAGCGTCCTGGCATTAGGGGACGCAAATGTAAATGGCTGCAATCCAAGACGATTTGTCGGGGTAGGTCAAATCGACGTCATCGATATTGGTATGCGGACTTCCTTTTAGTTAGTCTCATGTAACACCGACGGACCCCAAAAACGGAAGCACGGGACGGCGAAATTCTTGTTTGCAAGTCTAAAACGATAAAGACATTGTGGAGATGATTGCAATATACGCCCACAGCGTGTACTAACAACAAGACCTTTAATTAATGCAACAGTGTGTTCCTCATTTTTCTTTCAGTTTCGGAGTGCGCCTCTACCACAAACGTTGTGAACGTGCCCAGCGTTTATGACTTACATGGCTGTGTGAAAGAATGTGCGATCTTTATATTGTCTTGAAATAGAACGAAAGTGCGCCGCATAACCTTGTGTTTAATGTTTCCTTTCTACAGTAAACTGCCTTCCAAAAACAAAAATCTAGCAGAGCCTCTAAGCAACAGATGTATAGGAATTTTCATTCAGTGCTTCATGACCATTCCCAAAAGCTCCCCAAATGTGGCGCTGCGGCGGACGGCTTAGAAACATCAAGCAAAGAAGAACAAACATGCAAGCAAGGTAAACACTGCGGAGATGCAGAGTTTGCCCCAGCAGGGAATAGGTTGCATTGTGCAGACATGCCAGTTCCATAGGTATAACTCACGGCAATAAATCAACTAGTTTCATGGACCTTAAGGTCATTCTTTAATCAATGCCGCATCTTAAATCATCGTAGCATTGCGCTGTAAGCAATGCGCCCCGGCAGACACAACGTCTTGCTCAGTTAACTGCCAGGAAACTTGTTCAAAATCGTGGTAAGATGTGTGTGTCTTCTCGCTCTGACTTTTCTTGTTTCTCGAACATCGGTCATGTTTTGAAGTGTGTTGTGAATAATCCGTTTGTTCTTTCAGCCGATGGAAGTACAACCAGTGTCAAGTGGCTTAAATTTGGACAAAATTCATCACCTGGGGCTTTGATTATTCGGCTAACAGGAACACTGTATTCGGACGTCACAACCGTGCGATATGTTGAAAACCGTAAGTATTCTTTCGTCAAGGCATCAATGCACTGCTTGTATTGTGTAGATGTGTGAAGACCGCGAGACTTTGAGTGGGACGTTTTCATGCGGAACACGTTAAAGTTCTTTATGTTGAGTCTATCATCGCATCCTTGAACCTCGGGCTTTGTTGTCATTCGTTGACAGATATCTCGCGTTGTAAAATGGAAAATGTTCAGCGTGCAACGTTTCAACGTGAAGTGTTGCAAAAATGACAATGTTATAAACCGCTTTGCAACACCGTCACGGCAACAGAAGATTCCGCGGAACCGTCGGCTGCCGCCCGGCGCCTGCGCCGGCCGTTGATTGTCGCGTAGTGTTCCTGGACGAGCGTAGCTGCTTGGAAACCAGCGCACCAAAGGGCACGTTAGATGTGTCAAAATTCGCGTAGTGAATGACACATAAACTTAAAGAGGTATCCTTAAGAAACTTTAGGCGGTCTCGTCGATCAGCCCCCTATCAGGGCCAGGGATAAGGCGACTATTTTAACTTTTGGAAGAACTCAGATAACCATACAATTTAGTAAACAAAGGGGACACTTGCAAAGATTTGGTTTCTTGGAAGCATCAACAACTTGCGTCACGCACAAATTTTAGAAATATACAAAACAGGCCTTGTCAGATCAACGTTTGACTACGGCACCACGAACTTGCATGCGGTAAAAACTGCCTGTGATATATCGCAGGCGGTTGAAGAAACAACCTCTGAACGCGCGAGCCCACAGCAAAGGTCTAAAGGGAAACGCGAAGATACCGATAGAAAAGTGAGCTGGTGAGCTGACCACCGGCATGGAATAATGCTTCCGAATGTTTTAAAAAGTTAATTGACACCGTGGAAAGATTAGCCTGGGCATAGTTCTTTTTTTACAATTTGGTGGCATTCCTCTGGACATTTCAACGGCTACAGCGACATGGAGAATATAGTTTTATATTTACCTATTTTGCTTTATCACCAGATTCGAGCGCTACTTCGCAGTGCTGTGAAAACAAATTAGTTCAGTTTGTCAATCTGAAAATCGTACAGCTGAAGCACATACCCGGCTACCTTTCAAATGGATAGTTTGGTGTCCTAAAGAGTTAAAAGTATTTCTTCCACATGCGTCATCATTGTGCACCCGTTGGCCACGACGTAGTTCTAGCTGGGGGACCGAATCTGCGCGTCACATGGGGACTGCAGCGTCTGACATGAAGGTTTTGGTATTGATTTGCCAACGCTCATGCTCAAAACTACGTCACAAAGCTGCACTACAAATCGGTTCCGACTGAATGTTGATCACTTCGAGACAAAAACTTCAATCTACATTCGTTGGTTCCTTAATATCTGTTTACAGCCCAAATAAAGAATCTGACAAAACTTCTGAATTTTGTTTTTTATCCTCTTAAGTAATTGGCGCTCTTCATTTTACAATAGCCCACTGGACTATTGTCAAATGAAGAGCACCAATTATTTATTTCATGCCGTCGTTAAACGCATCATTTTTTTGGTGATTGCCTATAAAATTCAGACAATTTACCTAATGGTAGCTTCTAACTTATTTTCCAGCTATGGAAGCAAAAAGGAATCAATATGAAAACATGTTCTTATTAACGGATGGTCACTTTCAGCGATTTAGGGTGACCCTCCCACTAACATGGCCCTATATATATATATATATATATATATATATATATATATATATATATATATATATATAGCGAAAAGCATCACTGGCGGGGCCGAGGCACTGAAGTCAGAAGCTTTCCGGTTGGACACATTACAACTTGGTCGTGCTCTTGCCTTGCTGGTCATGATACGTCAGCTATGTCTAATTTATCTTTTACCTCGGTTTTCAGCGCTTGTCAAGCCTGATAGAAACATTTACCGAGCAAGTGTCGGTGATCGCGTCGCTCTCACCGCATATCCCACCACGAATGCATTGGTGGCTTGGCAAAAAAATGGAGTGTAAGTACATACATTCTGAATTGAAGGGCACATACACTCGATACCATGATTAATTTATTTTCCAAGGCTCAGTCTAGTTCTCGGTAGTTTTCACTATGCCCTAAACTGACCTTTTTAGGCGTGCGTTAGTGAAGCTCTTTGAGCCTCTTGCCACCGACGAGGTCTTGACTTCTTTCAACGGTGTTGCATTCATTGATGCCCTACGCACCTGCTTTTACCCAACGCCCCAGTTTTTCCAGGTCCAATTTTCATCAGAAGTGCCCGCGGATTTACTTCACTAAGCGCCGCAATGCCCGCAGGGACGCCTACTTCAAATTAAAATTGTTAACTTTTCAAAAGATTTCGAGAAAACTGGTATGACTTACCAAATCACACGCGTCTGATTTCAAAACAGGTGAAAAACAAAAAGCTGGCATGCTCTCTTTAAATCTGACGTAAGAGTGTTGTTAACTAAACCTTAAACTAAACCTTAGAGTGTTGTTACTGCGAATTTCTCCAGTCCTCAGCGTCACCTAAAGAGAGGGTTGGGCATTTGAAAATATTGAAGCAAGCGTGATGAAGTAAGCTGATGTACAACTATTGGTGTACTTTAAAGGGGAAAAGGATGCTCTAGACATTACAGTTCATCTGTTCAGGAAATATTCCCCTCAATGCGGCATTATGTGATTACATCATAGTACGTTGCACAACATTGATTTAATGGCATTTGAACGTCATCTTATTCGAAAGTCGTGCTCACGAACGCCAGATATGGACGGCTTGACAATCGTATTTTGATTGGCCTTGATCGCCGCATGGTTAGTGGACAGTAGGATTAGGATGATGTTTGCATTGGCGACATGGATGCCTGGGTTACACGAATTTTTAAAGTTCGTTATTTTGATTTTGCGTGCCTTGACCTGCGTAAAAATGTTCTTGCTTGCGGCGTGCTAAACTTGACTGACAGTAGATGTTTTCGTTCTTTCCCCCATTGCAAAGTCATGCACGCGCCTGCCAGTAGATATGTAAATGTTTCCAGATGTTCGATTGAACACTCCTACATTCTGAATCTCCAACACTTAGCTCTGAGCACATGCCTCTTGTCACACGTACTCCGTTGACTGGCTTCCCTTATTGGGCAAGGTAGCTTTTGGACGTGTCACAAATATGTTAGGAAGGTTAGTTGTTTTGGTTCAGTGCCAAAGATCGGTACACTGTTTGGCCATGGTGCGGACACACATGTCACCTAGCGGCTCATCATCAGTATCGGTGCCCCTCCATTATCTATGTCGGATGACAAGGCCAATTTTCATCCTAAAGCGCCGCCATGTGTTGCAGGAGTCTGAACTACACAGCAAAGAACTACATCATCGATCGTGCGGAGGTGGCGGACGCCGGTCTGTACCATGCTCAACACGGCGGATCTACACATGGAGCCGCGATACTTAGGCTCATTGTTCGCGGTAAGGCTTATTTGGAAAGCAATATCCCTAAAAAGTGTGCTCCAAAGCTACTGAATTAGATAGATTGCTCTCCTGTGCTCCTAAGCAGCTACCGCTGTGAATACTAAATTGGCAAGCATAATATATATGCATTAAGCACAGAGGTAGGATGCGTGGTGAAGTAGATGCTGTTGGCATATAAACACAGCGGAACAGAACAAGAACGATTCCGGCAGTCGCAAGATAAGATAGCTAACAGGCATTGAAGAACACGTTTGTAGATTACGTACTATGAAATGTTTCCGCTTTTTGGGTATGGGTGTAATCATAACTGTGAAACTGCGGGAACAATTAAAATTGCAGGGTTACGACTGGAGTCTAGCGGAGACAATCTGGACTGAAAATGACATTTTGAATCGAAGGATGTGAAAAAACAAGCATTTTACAGGCAACATTGAAAAAATCACATCATGAGTAAAAAGTACACATAAAGAGTGGGGGAAAGCATGTTTTCCGTCCCCCAATCTCCATAGAGGTTCTGCCATCACTGGGCATGGCATGGCAGCTAGGAGACAGCAGATGGAGGAAAGGTGGCAACAAGACAAAATAAGACAGGTTAGCGCACGGGGCAGAATAAATGAGTGAAAGGTAGAATAGGATAGAGGAAAAGATAAGAGCACAGGGCAGGAAATAACGGGTTACAACAGCAGCCGTCATTGGGACTTGGGACGACGCGCTCAGCTCCTGAGGCTATATGGTGTCGCGTGCCTTTCACCCCGGTAGGAGGGGCGTGCAACGCGGGAATCGAACCACATCCTTCTGGTTTCCCAGATGTCCAGTGATAAACGCAGACGCGTTAACCGCTTCACTATCGGCACCCTGTGGGAAGAAGTGCTGACGAGATAAGTTAGCATGGGTAAGAAGATGACGTTAGAACAGGACGGAAAAGATGAGGGTAGCGCAATGCAGCACAACACATAATGAACATAATGACCATGTGGTTGCCACATCCCATCACAAAGGAATGAGGCTGGAAGCCGCAGCCTAACTGGCTAATGATGTATCCGACATCATTTAACTTATCACACTCCACCACATGGTCATGGGGGCACATAATCGCACTACAGCCTAATGACTAGAGCATTACAAATTTAAAGCCCATCGCAACAATTCCAAATGCAATATACCCTAATATGCCGTTCTGGCCAGACACATTGGTCCAGTTCTAAATTGCATTGATTCGGTCATAACCCTACTTGTCTTCGCTCACGGTCAAACCACAAAACAAATGCATCATGATGGAAACACAAGTGTCAGGTTAGCCCCGATATTTTCGTCCCGGCCGGCTGCGGGATGTCGATTGCCATCCTAGATGTGGTATCCGCTTACACCTGCCAGCAAGAACGGATGAAGTTTCTAGGCATATGAAACGATAGCTTAGAATTTTGGTATGTAGTTCAGCAACTAGCAAGCAAAATTATTACGTTTTTATACGTGTACCTTTATTTCTTGCTGCACCATGTATTTTTGCTGGCTTCCGACATCACTTTTTCGGATGAGCCACGGGCCCGTTTCAAATAACTGAACTTAAGTCGCCTTCGGCTTCAGATAATAAATTGGTATCAGAATGATTATTGAAGGTACATATGTACATTCAAAAGATACGTTTGTCCACAATTTGCTATTTAATTGGAGGAGGTAAGCATGTTCCATGCGTCATTGTACGTTGAAGTGCCACCCATTGACCGCAATTCGTAAAAACTAATAATGACAAAGCAAGCTATTTTTATATAAGTCCTTTAAGTATCAAGTTGCTCTGTGCGATTTCTGAACCACTACTCTCACTTCAGTGTCGGAATGTGAAAGGGACTGCACATTTGTGTAGGGTTTTTAACTGAGGTAACTGTTTTCAATATTAGCCCCTGCAAACCTTAGGCGTGGCCTTTATAAGACTTCAGACCATTGGTCCCGACGCACGCAAAATTGCGCAGCTTATCTTTCACCGTCAATTTAAAAGCCACCTAAACATGTATGAGGTCATAGAAACGTCATGCGAGCCCATCTCCTTCAACACGGTGCGTTCATGACCAAAAAACTCGAGGCCGCCGACACATTCGTGTCTTGAGTATGTTAGGAGTATGCCAGTGCTCCAGTGACCTAACGATGGAAGGTAAGTGGCTGACAGCCAGTTCAAGCAACACGGGTTTGTGATAGGTACCGCGTGCATTCGGCAGTGGTATTAGGTATTACCGATATTAGGCCGAGAATAGAATAAGCTGAGAACAAACCGTAACGAGAATGCAAGTGCCAGTAAAAACATGCCATCCAGGAAAAATATGCAAGAACACTACGGGAAAGAGACAAAACACTGCGGTGTTTTGTCTCCTTTTCGGCAAGTAACAGCAATGCACCGCGATATTCGTAGGCGAAGGTATTTCACGTTTAGCGGTGAACTACCCGTTCCCTGATAGCATGAATGACGATATTATCCCAAACAGGAACGTTTGTTGGACTGCACTGTGCTTTTCAGAAGAGCTTTCGCTTGCATGTGATTTATGTACTGTTATTGCCAAATGCTTTAAACGAAAAACTGCAAGAGCAGTGCTGACATGGAAACACGTTTTTGCAGGTTGCCCAACCGACCTCTTTGGCACTAACTGCGACAAGCGGTGCCCGTACTGCCTGCATGGTGGGCAATGTCATGACGTAACTGGCGTGTGCGTATGTCCAGCGGGATTTCTCGGACCAAGATGTGAGACAAGTAAGTGACAAACAACTGCTGCATTGCGTGTGGTGAGGGCATCGGTAGCGTAGTGGTTAACTGGGAGTATTGAAAATCAGAGATACGGGGTTTGCTTCCTCGCGGTGTTCGCCCCTCCTGCCCGGGTGGGGTGCATGTGACGCCATGTAGACTCATTATTTGAGTGCGGCATAAAGCCCTGATGTCAAAGACATATGTGCGTGGGATGTCTGCCACCTTATTTAAGCTGCTTAATGACATGAGTTGCAATGCGCTGTTCATAGCGACAATGCATGTAACCATGTACTCCAAAGAGCCTTCGTTGGGTCTTCTTTGGGATATCGCCAGCCTTGATTAATAGCCGTTGCCATGACGCCTCCTGGCCGCTTGTTCGGAGCACTGGGTTGACGTCCGGTGATGGCGGTCCAGAGGGAGCTGGGAAGCCTGGACGTCCCTCCTGAGATACATCAGAGTGCGTCCTCCTGGAACTCCGTCCGTCCTCCTTGGGTCCTCTTTTATTGCTGATCCTGCGGCCATGACACCTGTATCCCCAGCACCATGCGGGTTTTCTGTGGATTCACCAACGGATACCGTTGCTTAGCTTATGACGGGTTGCTTTTGTTTACAGTTAAGTAAAAAAAAGTGAATTTGTCTTTATTTGACAGTTCAGCTCCTCCACACGCTACCTTGGCGTGCTGTTTTAGTCCTTTTGACTTGGTGACCGCTATATTTGTTATTGTGGTATCGGTTCCGTTAGTTGATTTTGCACCTTTAACCCAACACTGTTCGTGACGAACTTTTATGAACTTCCAAATGGTCTGTGATGTGTATCCATCGAGCGGTAAATCTGCATGCAAAGCGTTCAGGGACCAGCGGATTATGTTTGTTTTTTACTGAGCGATCTGACCTGGCCCAACGCTTACATCGTTCATTCCGCGCAGGTTGTCCGGAAGCTCACTTTGGTCACAACTGTTCATCGGAGTGTTCCGCATCCAGCTGTGAGAGCTCGCTGCTCTGCGTTCCTGATCCGTATGGCTGCTCCTGTGCATCTGGATGGAAAGGAATCGACTGCAAAGAAGGTAGGCCCTTTATGTCGCCCGTTTTGTTCTAGGACCACGCCAGGCCTGTTCAAAAAGATGCGTTATCACACATAACGGTGAGACTAACCGAGCACTAGGCTGTTTCGAGATCATAGGTGAGGAAAACGAGCGGAGCACCTTTTAGCATTTAGTCTTTAGAAATAGTGTGCTCTGAAAACATTCAAGGATCGTGGATGTGTGAGCACAACAATTTCTGTGTATTGACAGCAGACCTTTGCCGCTCATCAGTTTTACTTCTGCGTTGACGCATATTCGTTTCTGGTAATACCGATCCTGAAATGTGTAGCGTACTGCTGGCAACCCCTTCCCGACTGATCCATCTATTTGGTGAGTAGCTATGGTGCCGAAATCGAGACCACTTTTGCCGGATGGCGCACGCCCGAGCCGTTCCGTGGTTAAATAAATGACGTTTTAGGGTCATAAGGCTTAAAGGTCATAAGTCGCACGGGCGAATATCAGGCGTCATGTACTTGCGAAATCACAGCCATCAGGTGCTCATTGGTCCTTGACGGTGTGGGTGGCCACCAGTGTCTCATGTTCCCGTCAAGCGTGTACACGTTTTGGACTGGGGGCCCTTTCGGTTGTCAGCTTGTCTGACTGCTTCATTAAATTCAGACCTTGGAGGGCGGTCGTAAAAGCTCTGCAATAAAATGAAGGACAGTGGCTGAATTACTACGTGCTGCTATTCGGTGACGTTGGTTTTGGGTGATGTCGGTCCACTTCGTCCAGCTGTGTTACTTCGTGGGGTCGATGAGGTAAATGCACGCTTGCCGCGATAGAAGCCGGCCCTCCAGCAGGCCCACCAGCAGGCACATCGCCGTCATACGGAAGATATGAGTCCAAGATGTGTCCTGATGACTTTGAGCTTTAGTGCTGTGCTGCAAGACCCCTATCAGGACGGGCTGTAAGCATTGTGCCCAATGCGCACTGTCCAAACCATGCATATTCAGCCATTCAGTTAACGAAGTGGCATGCACTGTGGCCGCTTGTGAAGAACTCTTCATTTTGTCTTTATGACAAAAGTACAGCGACTCCAGGCATGACCGATTAGATGGATACAAATGCGTTGTATCGCGAAACTCATGCGTAGTTTCATACAGTGTGATAAGGTAGCCGTTCCCATGTTTTGCTGAACAACGATGGGAATAACACAAGGAGAAAAGATTACTCCTTGTATGTGTGACGTTCTATGCTTTTACAGCAGAGAACGTGTACGTTATATCAGTCCCCGGGCATGATATTGATTGAAAATACTTTTCAGGTAGCGATGGACCGCTGTGGACAACCATTCCGCTAAATATTTGCCCGTCCTTCGCGCCTGTTCGCACCAGTTGCCCCGCAACTCGGTGTGGAAACGTGGGCGCACACACCTTAAAGGGAATGTTTCACATCTAAAGATATTCAGGCAAGCATCAGATATGGTGAAACAAGCTCGCTTATGCGCATTAGTGTAGTTTTAAGTGGAAAAAACTGCTCGAGACAGCACAATTATTGGTTTAGTAAGCATACTCTTCAATGCGCCACAGCAAGATCACGTCATCGTACCTTGCACAACATTGAGAGCCAGGCAATAGCCGTTACATCTGAAAACAGTTCTCACAGACGCCACATATGAACGCCTCGACAATGTTATTTTTCTTGACCTTGATCGCCGCATGGCTTATGGATTGGCAGGGTTTGAAAGACGTTATTATGACGTCATAAATGCCAATGTGGCTCTAAAATACTCTCCGCCAAATACACTCCCCACTTTTGCAGGCGTGTAGTACAGAAATTAGGGGGCTTAGGTCGTAAGAAGGACAGGGATGTGAACAGCACGGCAATGTCTCAAATGTGGCTATTGCTGTTTGAACCCCAGACCAATGTGGAGCACTCTCTTTAAATTTAGCAACTGTGTTTCTCACCCATGCTTAGGCGCAGTGCACGCAACGGAGTTGTGCAAGGCGCTGACGACGCATGATACGCAGCCATACCTTTACGTATGTCAAACAGGTCCGGTGTCATTCGAGATTGGAGTGGCAGATTCGAACAACATATGCCATATCAAGGTCATTACTTCCATTTTGGTCTTTCCAGGGCCATTTGTTTAGGGTCCTCTTTCGGATCTTCCGTTGTATACGGATCGCCAGGGGTGGTAAAAGTGTACTGTTGTCACCGACCAATTTTTTTAGGAAAAATTGTCCCCAGTAGCGTAATGCGATACCAGATGACAAACTGGTCACTAAGTCCATGCCCAGTAGTGTCACCAGTAATCAGCCCGTGACTGAAAGTTTCTTTCATCGCCGCAGTTTTCAATATCAGGCACCTAACCAAAACGTTCAGTCATACACTGCACTTGAGCAAATGTCAGGATAAGTTGTGCTGCTAGGAAAGCAGACGCACCTGTCGTAGACTTATGAGATAGCCCAATCACAACAGGAATTTTCTTCCGCCCTCGGGACTTGCCGGGGCCTCACATTTAAACTCGATCTACGGCTGGATTTGCTTCCTTCGACCTCAAAAACAAACACCGAAGGGCCTTGATAGCCAGGGCAGCAGAATGCACGGCAGGTTTCGAACCAGTTGCAAGCGGCGCCGGGAATGACGTCAAATATGGGGGCCTCCACGTGGCCATGCACCTTTATGAAAATCATGTTTGCGCTTCAAGCCTCATCTCAACCGTCATTAAAGTGTCCACCTTAGGCATGTTACAAGCCCGGCGCGACATGTTTCGACTGGTGAGCGCCTTTTGCCGTGCCCCAACAACTATCGAAATTTGTCAATAACTTTACATCAGGCGGATAGCTCTTTCTGATCGAGTTACTCGCCCTGGCAGGAGGGGGAAGGGTGGGCGATGCGGCACGACCCCCCCCCCCCCCCCTCCAACGTTTTTTTGAGGATACCAAGGCTTTATATTGTGCAGTCTTGCTCAAATCTTCGGAAGCCTCTGGGTCATCCATTGTAAACGTGCTGACACAAAAAATTGCCCCTAACAATTCTGGTTTCAGAATAGCGATGTTCTTTACAACATTGCAAGACGATTCAAGGCCGGCGGGTGCGAAGGGAGCAAGCGACGATATTGCGGACCGCGCGCGGAGGGTTGGCACTGTTACATAAACGAAACCCTGCTTTATAAATATAGGCTCCAAACGGATAAAGCTACATGCCACCGTACCCATAATTAAACAAGGGTCACGCCTCTTTATGTTTATGTCACTTCATCACATGGCTTCGTATATATGAACATGTAAAGCCGATGTTTGGTTTTCATGAAAATCTTGCCTTCGATTTGGTTTAGTGGGGGCAGTTAACAACAGGACACTTTTTACCAGCCACGAGATCTCGCTAAAGACAGTTCACTGTTCGCTTGTTTGCCTTCGTTGTTTGCTGTTTTGCCTCCGATTTGGTTTAATGGGGTAAGTTAACAACAGGACACTTCTTACCAGCCACGAGATCTCGCTAAAGACAGTTGCTTCTTTCTTTGCGAGGCTTTACCTTTTTTTAGTTTGCAAACGTCAGGGAATCCCCCCCCCCCCCCCCGCCAGTCTGCGTCACAAAATCTGGCGAATCAGGGTAGGGGTTAAAATTATTGCCTGCTCATGAAAATATTAACTGCTACAGCAGAATGACACATTTCATTACCAACATCCAAATATTGCTAGAAATCCCATCAGCAAGCCAAAATAGCCCTTTGCATGCAAGTAGCATCCAAATCTAAGATTACCTGTGATATCTGTCATGTATAATGCAGGAATGCCAATGCAAATTAATTTCTGGGGCGCTGCCCATTATCTACGTTGGACTGTGTCCTCTCAATGCTGATTCCTCCTCCCCCCCCCCACAGCCAATATTTCTAGCTGGAAAATTACAAAAAAAAATGTTTGGGAAATATGGCTGTAAAACAAAACCATCTTATCCGAGCTTAATTTACTGGCCATGATCCATGGGTTGTTATTTCCCCTAATAATCCACAGTAGTTGGCACTCCTGTCCTTATGCCGGCACCACACAAACTATATTGATTTCTACTGCCAATGTAGGCTGCATATAAGGTAGGCTGTCTGCCTTCACAGCGTGTTCTTAAATGTTATCAGTGATTATGCTAATGGTTCCATCAAGACAATTTTACAATTCAATGTTGGCAAAAACAGCAATGACATTTACCATGTTTGCATCCATGCAATGCTATATTCACAAGTGCAAAGAAAATATGCACATGAATGAGCAGTGCAGAATGAATGACTCCAGAGCTTTCCTGTTGCAGTAGGGTTGCTATCATCAGGAAATAGTCAACATTGTTCTCAGAGACAACCAAATGCCAACCTTTCATTCACGTCATAGGACAGTTGGATCACAATACCATAAAACATCATGGTTTTCAGAGTAAAACTCTTGGTAAAGGGGAGATGGCAATGAAACTTGCACCCCACCCCCTTACTCGTTGCTTACATTTACTACACCACTCCACTCCTCACGTTTATCACCTTCTCATGGCTTACATCATTGAGCATCATACAAATTTATAGCAACCAAGATTCATGATAACAAACGGTTGAACCGCGGATAAGTGCTTGAAAGCTATTAAAGCAGTGATGATATATTTGCATTTCAAGCGGGGGCATAGTTCTTAAAGATAGGTTGGGGAGCAGTGCAAAAGTATGCAATGTACCCTCAAAATATGGATGTCTCCTAGATAAGCACACTTCTTCACACTTAGGGGGAGGGGAGGCGATGGAGCCCTGACCTGAATAAGAGATAGGAACACCCCTGATTTGAAGATCTATGTGACTGGTAACCATTCCCAATCAAACAAGTACAAAAATGGCATAAACTGATCCTCCAGAACCATTATCACGTCCTGTAATTCTCCTTCATGAGGAGTACCATCAGGCTTCAGCATCAAATCCACGGCTCTTGGAAATGGAAGAAAGCTGGTCGCTTGTGACTTCTTCATTGAGTGAACAGCATTTTCGGTGTCTTGAAAGGCGGCATGGACAATCGCGGGTCGGTATCTACCTCGATATCTACCCGCCGACTTACACTGATCTGCCAATGCCTCTCTTCGGTGAGGACAGGGTGCTGAATCACGGCACAGCCAACGAAGTAGACAAGACCAGAAATTAAACCCTAGACAGGTATTCATGACACTGCAGTGCTAATGCCACTTGCAAAGTTGGACCGCATTGAAAGTCACCGCCCACCTCATGTCAGTCACATCGCAACAGTTGAAACACGCCCTTGTGGCCGGATGAATCCCCACATCTTGGCTCTTTTCAGTACTTTATACTGTCGAGTTTGGGACACTGAGAGTCGGCTGTTAAAAACAGCGAATCGGCCGACCGACCGGGGCATTGGAAGTACATTGATTTGTCGCCAACCTGTCACCGAGTCGGCCGACCAACTAAAAATCATAAGATATTTTTGTGGCCGGCTCGGAATGAAACCTAGAAAAGATACCAGTGTGCCGTGCAGTACGGTAAAGAGTTTCTACAGAAACATCCGCTGGTGTTGTGTGACGGACTTAATTGCCATGGAGGCGTGATTATATATATATATATATATATATATATATATATATATATATATATATATATGTGTGTGTGTGTGTGTGTGTGTGTGTGTGTGTGTGTGTGTGTGTGTGTGTGTGTGTGTGTGTGTGTGTGTGTGTGTTTGTGTGTGCGTGCGTGCGTGCGTGCGTGCGTGCGTGCGTGTGCGTGTGCATGAAGACTTCACGTTATGTTTTGCGTAGGGTGTTGTATTATTTCGGCTTGGCCGCCACCAAAATTTGCCGTGTAAAAAATTTTTTGGCACCAAGCTTCGCGTGAATATATGCATTTTTTGCCGACGTTATCCACTAAGTCGGCAGGTTTTACCATCCCTGCGGATTGCCGACCTTCCACTGTCAACATTTCCCAGAGAAGACCATTCAAAACAAGAGCATGCGCGACATCAACATGTTTGTTCACACGTGCTATCCGTGTGGATTAACCAAGGAAATGCATATTGCGACATCGTTTCTTCAGCCTCGTCAGTTGTGAGCATGCAACAAAAGCCTTAAAATGAACGTATTGCACCATTTTCGTTGATCTTTGAACAAATAATGAAAAAAGATGCTGCGCATCCAGCGAAGATTCTACGTGAGGTCACATACGCTCTTCGTCGTCCGGGTCGCTGCGAGTACTAAGGGGTGCTCCAAATTATATAGGATATGATGTCATAAATGATGTCGGCGTCATATATTCTTTACTATTCGGGTCGCTCTAAGTACACTCAAAGATAGGTGGCAATGCGATGAATGGATTGACATGTATATTTTCAGTCCGCAAATCGTGTTCAAAATTTGTTTTGGCGTCACCGGCTCACTGCTTTCAAAAAGTGTATGACCCCACCCTACATAAGGTCGTTGTTCACGATGCCACCCTCTCGATTTGCTTATCTCGCCCACAAATTTAAAGTGGCGTCCAAAATATAATGTAGTATCATGGTTCAATGCTTTTAAAATATGGTGTTTCGTCGTTTATCAGGTATTTATCCATACCTGCCAGAGGTACTGAAAGCTGTACCAGAAACATTGTGGTAAAGTCATGTGACTCAAAGCTTTTGAAGCATTTATCACATAACGTTTTCCGTACCGAGGAAGTTAGTAAGGTTGTTTGCAGATGACGGTTAAAAGAATGCCCAAGTTGTTAAGTGCATTTGCGAGGAATGGTGAGCATATAGATGATACAGTATTAGTGGCCCTTTTTCTCATGTCGCTATCGGAATTTGCCTAGTGTCATATGTTCAAGGTAGGTAGTAGAAATATGATATCTATATCTCCAACTTCCCGGTTATTCTACGAGAAATGAGGCCATGATGCTGTTACGTCATTAGAAAGTAGGGAGGCAAAAAGTTCCTAACTCAAGATGAATGTGTTAACCTGAAATCGGAATTTGACCGATGTCAGATGTGACACCCAAAATTGCCCACAGCGTATTGTAAGACTGTCACAGAAATATGGTCATTATCCACCGCTGTGCTCGTTTTCCACACGTAGATTTCTCCAGATCTCACCACCCGACATAAGCGTCTAATATCAAGCCTTTTTCAGTCTGCCCTCCTCAGAATTACGGCCCAGACTGCTCGTCCTCATGCGGGAGGTGCAAGGGAGATGGCGGATGCAACAGGTTCACCGGGGAGTGTAAATATGGCTGTGAGGACGACCGTTGGGAGCCACCACTCTGCTTGGAACGTAAGTTTTCTGTTTTATCTGTCTAGCATGCAGTCCAGCGTTCACCACGTGTGTTACAGTTCCGTACGCTAAGAACAGTGTGGCTTGGCGCAATGCTCAGATATCACCCAGCATTCACTGACGCATCAGGCTCGTGCAGCAGAGCCGGTCCGGCAACGGAGTTTGTGAGTCGCCACAGTATGTTTCAAGGAGGCGATAACGCCGGGGATGGCCTGGCCTTTCTGTGTCAGCCCCGCTTGAGTCTGGGAAGGTGTCGCAAATTTTTGTCTTTCTACGTCCCCGCCAATGGAGCATGGCTCCAATGGTGACCTATTGGACTCGCCTTTGGTCATGCATTATTCATTTAATGTGTGAGCTGCTTCAGGAAGCCTTATATCAAGTATAATCTGGCACCGCCACCAGTATTTGCGACCGCCGAGGGGTTGAAAGAAGCTGCGTGTTTTTGTACGATGTTGATGTCCGAATGTGGAAAAGTAACTGACAAAATATTCAATACGTTTGTTAAGCTCACAAACAAGACACGAACTTCCACGACCCTGGGAATTCCCTTAATCACCCACCTTAATTCTCGCAATGATGTTCGTACGTACTTGTAACCGACTAAACCAAGATAGTGTAGGGCATTCAAATCATACCGTAATAAAGGCGTGCGTTACGAGTCACCATGAAGTCGGCTCAAAGCCAAATTGTGCCTTTGCCTTATTACGTTGCTGGTGCCGGTACGAGGTACTGTTCCAGTCCACATTACTTTAGTACTTGTTGGTTTGAAAATGAGGACTGATGTGAACTACGTGGGCTTAATTATCGCAGGTAGCTGGCACAGCTCCTGATTTTTAACGCCACTTTTGCGTTGACCTCACATCATCTCTGCTGGCGACCTTTTACGGTCTCATATAGTGCTAGTACCCTTTATTAGCGCACAGTCGGCCCATAAGTTGGCCCATAAGTTGCCTCTTTTAAACCCTCAGGTGGTTGTAGCTTAGCTCATATCTGTACAAAACGTACATAAAAGATGTGATACCACGTATGAGATTAGGACTTCTTAGCTGTACAAGAGACCTACAGCACACTTTTTCCCATGTCTGTGCTGACACGAACTTTTGTTTGGTACGTGTCTCCTTGCCATGCGGGGGAATACAGAATGTCTTTTTCTTGTAGCATGCTAGGTGCCTTGAAATTAGCATGCTAGGTGCAAAACGGCTGCCGAAATTTTGCAACTTGTGCGTGGTGCGGAACAGTTGTTCAGGAAAAATGAGCTCCACCCCTAGGCTCATTACAATCTAGGCCATCGTCACCAACAGTAAAATGAATGTTGTACGGCTAAGCGCTTTCTCTGTCTGTAAAAAATAATTCGACCAGAGTCATGGTAATCAAATTGCGTGTATGAAGCTACGCTATGTGTAGGTGTTTCAGAATTTTTGGCGCGATTATAATGCTTTTTTGTTTTGAGGCGAGCTTAAGCGAGCTGATCGCGAAAGGATTAGCCAAATCAAATGACTGTGGAATGCGAAACGGTGTTGCGTTCTCATGTTCGTCTGATTGACCGGGATGCACAGAACACCTCTCATTGGACATTGCCAACGATACATAGTTTGGACGAAGTTTACACTGGGAGGTCAGGCAACACTGAAACGCACGTGAGTTGGTGTGACGCCACCATACTCCAAGCGATCTCCTGGCGCCGTGGTGGGCGTTTAATTCCGCAGATGATCCTGTGACGTTTGGCTTGTAGTGTCCGAACTGTCTGCGATCAAGGTTTGCAGCTTGAATGCTAACCTTAGGGTTTTTTGGATTTTCAGGATTTTGAATGTTTGAATGTTAACCTTAGGATTGCTCTTGCAGATGCTTGCAAAATTGTATGGCATCAATACCATGAATAAAGGCTGCAAAAGGTGATTAAGGAAATGAATAAAAAGGAAATGATGTAACTTGTTTCGATGTCTTATGACCTTAAAGCACGTTTGCCTTTTCCCAATACAACTTGGTGGGAAGCATATGTTCAAGCTTCTAGAACGTCATTTCAGAAAGGAACAGTTAAGACTGAAATCAAAAACAATCGATTCAGAATGCAAACTGCGCCGGCAACTCTAAATCACCATGTGTATGACATACGTCAACCCATTACAAACTGTGAAATGGGTTGACGTTGCAATGCAAGGAGCAAACATTACGCCAAAGCGTGGACTGCTGTAGGTGCGCACAAGGCCTGGCTGTGTTTGGCTTTGCAGTGTCACCCTGGTTCCGCGATCCGCCGGATGTGCGTCATACCGGCTTCACAAGCCTGAGAGTCAGGCAAGCCGTGTGGAGCAGCGACTATGACAACGGCTTAGGCTCCGGTCACTACAGCTACAGCATTGAATACCGGCTGAACGGCACCGCCCATCAATGGACACAACCAGCGACGAAACCGACGCAGAACGGTAAACACCAAGCGCGTGCTGTCATGGATCTTCCAGGCTGAAGCGTGCGCTTTCGAGAACGGCATTTGTATTCGCCTGCTCATAATTGTTTACCTCTATCCGACACGACAATGACTTCACGCTGACAGCTTCTACAAATTATTCTTGAATTTCGAGAAGTGTGGTCATGCCTTGGTAAGCAGGCCCTAGCTAGGGTAGTGCCAGCAATACTGCACATCCAGCTCCAGCAAAATGAGTCGCTCCAGAACAACCGTGCTTCTTTTCGGCACTCCACTGTCCCTGCAGGAAAGATCATCCTTTTACCTTTGTATTTCTAGACAGAAACTGAGCGTTACCAATGACATGGTAGTACACTATACCAGAAGAAACACCCATCCAATGTTGTAAAAGTGCAACTCCATTTCTCTGTTAGAGATTAGTTACCACCCTACACTCGACGTTTTTCAGACCCCATCTGACCTTTGCCTGGCCATGCGTAACTTTTTTGTTGTATGTACAAAATGGTCGCTCAGGTTTCGTCCTCTTCGGTAAGATGTCAGGGGTTGACTTATAAATACTTCCCTTAACGGGAGTGTTCTACATTTATGCGGGGTCTGGACTGAAGTAGCCATCTTGACAATCTTTCGGTCCTGTTCACATTCTTGCTCTTTTTAAGATGTAAGCCTCTCTGGTTTCTGAACTATACGCCCGGGAAAATGGGGAAAGGTACATCGGGGAGAGTATTTCAAAGTCATCGTGGCATTCATGGCGTCAAAATAACGTAAGCCCCTCTGGTTTCTGAACTATACGCCCGTGAAAATGGGGAAAGGTACATCGGGGAGGGTATTTCAAAGTCATCGTGGCATTCATGGCGTCAAAATAACGTAAGCCCCTCTGGTTTCTGAACTATACGCCCGTGAAAATGAGGAAAGGTACATCGGGGAGGGTATTTCAAAGTCATCGTGGCATTCATGGCGTCAAAATAACGCCACTGAAATCCGGTCATTCCATAAGCCATGCGGCGATCGAGGCCAACTCATATATGCTTGTCGGGGCGTTCAAATGTGGCATTCGGAGCGGAAGTGCAACGTACGGTGACGTAATCAAACAATAACGCATTGAGGAGGATATTTACTAAGCAGAGAATTGTGTCGTTTACAGCAGTCTTTTCCACTTAAGAATGCTATCAATAGCCATAAGTGGTTTTGTTGAATCATATCTGAAGCTTGCTCCAATATTTTCAAATATGAAACATTCCCCCAATTGTTTGGATTTGACCAAAACGTGTTGTTTACTTTTAACTATTTGTCCAGTATTAGGTAAATGGCTGGAGCATGTTGCCACGAGTGGGATTGGCGGCAACATCTTCACGTTCTTCTTCTGTTTGCGGCTGCTAAAGAGCTGCTCCCTCGTAATCTTTGCCCACTGTTCTCCACACTTTGTACTGCTTTTTGTTTTGCAGTAGGACTGTAGCATGCCAACGAAACAAGGTGCAAGCATGCATGAGTGCAAAGGATGTTGAACTTTTATGGCCAGAATCCTCACCGGGGCTCGTCGACGAGATTCCATATCACCAACTGTCCAGGAGATGTCTTGGTGCGATGTACTTGATGCAATCACGTACCGTGACAGCTTCGCTGTGTTCTCTCTTTCCATCACCATAGCGATTATGTTGAGGGAATACGTGCCCATCATGCATAAGTGATGGTTTCACACTGGCAGCAACCGGGCAGGCGCCTCAGGTGACACGTTAGCAGCAACTGCGTACGGCAGTCAATGGGACCGACTTGGCTGCCAGTGTCCAAGAGCGCGTCGTCCACCAAAAAGTTGTTGCTATTTACATGCGTCGTAGGGATCGTTATAAATGCCTTGCCAGCCTGCCCGTCGTCTGTCTAAGCAGTGTGTCGTTTCAAGTGTCCGAAGCTTCGGCAGGACCAGCATAGAGACTCCCGTCGACTTCTCATAGTGGGTGTGAGGGCGGTGCTAGCCGTCATCTGAAAACGAGCTGCTGTCCTGTGTCGTACGACGACGTCGCTTACCTGGGGGCGGCGCGTGGCGCGGTGGATCAGCGCTGCGCACACCCGTCATCTGATGAGTGACTTGAAGATAGTGATTGGTCAGGTTAACGGCTAGGTAGCAGCCGACCGCTCAGATGACCTTTCGGTGCCGCACCCAGCACCGTCTGCCGCAGTTCGGTAACCACGAACTGTGACGCCCGCGGCGCCAGTGTGTCCTGGGTGTGGTGCGGTCGTGATCGCGTTGGAACGACACCGGCGATGACGTGATGCATCTGCTGTGTACCGCATGCTCCGCTCCGCTCCCTGACCAGCACACGCACAGAGTACAGTTCTGCTCATCTCCTACCGAGCGGGAGACAAGCTCTTTGCGCTTCATTTCGTCAGCAGCTGCTTGGAAAGACACCGCGACCTGGCGCGACAACAGCGTCGTCTCTCCAGCTGATAGTTTCATCAAATGATGGCGATGCAGTGCCGTTTGCCAGGCTGGGGTGCACGTTCCCTTTGCCCAATCAGCCTGATCAAAGAACTCTGGGCAAGCATCCTGAACAAGCTGCTTGATGAGAACAGAGTACTCCAAAACAGGCATTGTGCCTTTCTGACCAGAAGTTGACTGTGCAGACGCCATCTTCGGCCGTATGGCGCTAAGCGTCTTCTTCAGTGGGGAGGGCACATCAGTTTGGTCGCTGCTGCCATCCATGGGCTGCAGAGCAAATGCACGGCATCTCACCGCCACGACGCTGGAGCGCTTCTCGGTGGAGATGTTGTCCAGTGCCGCCAGACGCTGGCTTTGGCGGATGGAACCATTGGGTGATGCTAACTCATCTTAGACCGGGAAGTCGGCCAACGCAACACTAATCATGGCAGACGGAAACGCAATAGGAGCAGTGGTTGTCACTCCATTCATTGCATATAATCACTTTCCCGGCACCGCTGCCATCACGTCCCGGCTCGCCCCGGCCGACATTCCACGAGGTCCGCATTCACCCGGGCAGCACACGCAGCCCGAACGAGGCCTGTATTTATGCTTCTCTCCACACACATTCCACGTTGTCATCAGCGGCCTCAAACGCCTCCAGTCATTCCTACGTCACATTGAACAGAGGTGGATCCAGCGCGATGTCGGACATGACAGTTACGAAACTGGGTAATGTGCTGGCCTCTAGGTAATGACATGTTTCTACGAATACTGTGGTATAATTTGGCAAGTGTTCAGATGCCATCACGTTCTAGACGCTATCTGGAAATTGCAATATCGATTTACCTTAAATCAGGCAACAATCCACCTGCTGCAACCGTTGGTCAATAGTAAACATTTTCATTATTTTTTCATTATGTTTATAATAATTGCGTCATAATCATTCCAACTTGACAGTTGGAATAATTGTTCAGACTATCATCATCGCCTGGTGTGTTGGTTGCGCACCATCTCGGCCGGTTAAATCTCCGGCCGCCGTCAGGCCTTATGCAGATCACGAGGGCACCGCATAATGTTCAGCTATCAGCCATGCATACGTCACATCACGAATCATGTCCGCGAGTTTTCTGGGATTCGACCAAGGGTCTCCTTGATGCGTGCTACAGCGCGTTACCAACAGAGCTAACCGGAAAGTACTGTTCTTCCTCCTTTTTTCCCTTCCTTCCTTCCCTCCTGCTTTGTCTTTCCCAGTTTATTCAGTTGGTTGAGCACTGGACTTGCAATCAAGAAGACCCTGGTATGAAGCAATGCCATGAAGGAGTTCAAGCTGCAACGCATACATGATTGATAGCCAAGCTTCACCCAGTCCCTTTAGGGACGCCATAGTACCTGACGACGGCAGGAAAGTTCACTAGCCGAAACGTTGTATAACGTATACCCCAGACGAGGGCGAGACTCCAATTATTCCGTCCGTGGTGCTAATGCCTCGTCTCAACCTATGCCTAAAATATTTCGAACTTGGTATGTATTTCAGGTAGCTGAAAAATTACCACTTGTGCTGGAACAGCTCGAGCGATCTTTCCGAAAAAAAGACACCTCGTTTCACTCATGCACTGCGTAGTGCTAATATCAGTGTCTGTTATTTCAGGCAACTTTGTAGCGTTCGTGCTAGACGGCTTGAAGGCCGGGAGCACGTACGAAGTGCGGATCATCATTAAGGATTTTCAGAGAAATACAGCCATGAGGGATGAGGCAAAGGTTCCTTCCGTCGAAGCAACTACTAAGTGTGAAGGTATGTGATTTGTTCGGTGTTCCAGTTCCCGTTTGGCTCCAAGGTCAAACTAGGTTGAATGGTCCGAATGCAGATATATGAAGTGGGTCAGGTTTGGGTTCGAGGCGTTATTTTACGTGCGAGTGTAACCAGGCGATCATTTAAGAGCTGCTAAAGGAAGTCGTGCCCGTCCTTCAGTTGTCTTTCTTACACGGATCTCAAGTGTCTTTTTGGAATCCCTTGCTTAATTTCGTGCCTTGTCTTAGAAAATCAGGACTTGGCCCCGCACTGAGGAAATCCCACATGCGTCGCTGAGAAGAATAGGTCACTTCACCCCGTACCTGGTGCAGTTCTACTAGCACCCATCCACCGCCGTCTATCATTGTCATAGCATGCTTAGTTCTTCACACAAAGTTTACCATCAAACTCATTCATTGGCGCCAGCCCAACGCAGTCTTTACGCGAACTATTCCACGTTGATGCATGCCCAGTTCCAACATGTGCAGGTCCTTGCAATAGAACGGGCGACTATGAGGCCCGACTCCGAAGATCGAAGAACATCGTTCATGGCGGGACTTGGAGCCCCATGTGATAGAAGTCATTTTGCACCCATGCGCCCAGTCATTTTGCACCCATGCGCACAGGTGTCCAGAGCATCATAAGTACTCGGTATAACGCGTGAATTATACAAGCATGGCTGCCAGGATGCACCAAAAGCTTTTTCGTCGTCGGCTGTAGCAGCATATGACGCATCCACATTTCTGGACGCGTTATTTTCCCCGGAGAAAGCCAAATTCGTCGTTTTTTAAAACCAAATGTCTGCGGAGGCAACTGAGCGTATTTCTCGGCCGCGCCAATTCATCTGAAATGTGAATTATGCGTCTATACTGGCAAATACCGAAGAATAATGTATGCCATGTCTGCCGCGTTCCAGGTCCTCTTGCCATCGAGAATGTGGAAGTACTTGTCATCACGAGCTCCTCAGCCACCGTGGCCATCTCGGTAAATAATCCACACAAGAATAGGAGGGGCGGGGGAAGTTGGGCTTTGAAAGCATTGTATTTGTTGAAGACTTCTTCGGAGCTGTTCAGAGCTGTTTGGTGTTCAATGATGAAATTACTGTGCAAATTCGCCAACTTTGCACCTGATCTGCAGCTTCGAGCGCCATGTCAGGTGTGATCAGTAACATGTCACCTCGTTCTAAAAGGGCTGCGAGGAAAACTCGCGGAAAACCTTCCCCTCCCTTCCGCCCCGACGCCCTACATTTTGCAGCGTGTCGCAGACCATCCCTAGAGGGTATAAGTGCCTGAGGGGGCCACATAATGTACACTGCTAATGCGCATGAACCGTGCAAAAAATCGTTCCTAACCAGGCTCAAAATACAAAAAAAAACGTTGAATTTCTCCCTCAAAAATGGTAGCTGACATTCTGTAGCGTACCGATGTCATCATCGTACTTAAAGACTGTAAGTGCAAGATCATACAAGGTCAAGGTTTTGTTTGGTGATGAAATGTTTGATGATGGTTTCATTATCAGGTGACCTCGCAATGCGCTTGTAAAACAAGTGGGGGCAAGGCGAGACGGTGAAAGGCAGGTAAAATCACGTGGTCTTCCTCGTAGACTTGCTCTTTTCTAGAAAGAGGTCATACAATTACATACCTACGTACATACATGCAATTATAGTGACGAAATAGTGTCGATGACTTAAGTAGATTTTTCCTTGGTTTGTTTGAAGAAGGAGCTTTGCAATTTTTACGAAACTGTAAAAGCCGTCCTGAAGAACTTTCGGTGCAGTTCAAAGTTTTTTTCAAGGTCACCGAGCCATCCATGCCGCCGTAATGACGTCATTCAAAGTCCTGTCATTTCGTGAACTATGAAGCGATTAAGGCGAACAAATATAATTGTCGAGTCATTTGCATCTTGCGCTCGCAAGAACGATTTCCAGAGATAACATAGCCATTGATCTTAGGTCATGTATAGAGGTCACACCGAAGTCAACTTAACCTGCCTTTGTTCTCGAGAGCTTGCCTCGTGGGATAATTTCTGGTGCTGATTTGGAGCTTATTCATGACACTGATCGCATCAGACAGATTTTGTGGAGTTTTAAAACGTAAAAATGGGGTGTTGACATAAAATGACCCAGGTCCGCATTTTGTTTTAGGAATATACCGCTAGCGTAATGCATTGATCTTTTGCTAAGAAAAGGTGTCTATGTTTATGGCAATTACCTGAGGAACTATAGGGGAAAGAGGTACTTTAGACACCAATGTGAAGTTTGACCTTGTTTGATCTTATTTGAATCCAAGGCCATATCCTAAGAGCCTCAGATTTGGAGGCAAGTGTGTTCACGTATAAACCAACTAAGTCTGTGAGCTTAGTGTTTCCAAGTTTGTGAGATCCTAAGGGTTCAAAATGACCCGCCACCCGGGCGAATAGCATCCAGTCGGGCGCTAGGGTACATGTTAAGCGATGAAGGTTTTGGGTCTGGTTTGGGTTGCGGTGCGTGTTTGAATACGTCATCATCTAAATAAGTGCATGCTTGCTTGATTTGAAAGCCTCAAGAGTATTTAGTTTGTCCTCTGTTAACGCCATAGCCATTTTCCAGACACCTTACAAAATGGCGCTGAACACGAGAGCTGTACTGTCTCCCGGACTTGGCATAAATGCGTCAGGGATTTCTGTGACGGGTTCTTTTCAGTTATATAGCCGTGACCCGCAATTCAGGAGCGCGGTCATGAATAGAGCATGGTCTCACGGCCAAAGAACGTACCAACACTCCCAAGCACCAATGATAGCGTAATAATGAGTCATTTTGATAACTAATTCTGTGCGTGGATGAAATATGAAGAGGACATTTCCCAAAACTCACCTGATTGCGACCTGCAGATAAACGCACCCTGTGGATCAAACAGTCCTTCTGCTTCCCGCACTGTCCTAGAATTGCCGACTCTGGGTGTAAAGCAATACCCTATGAGAGCGAATGTTCCACTCCTTTTCCCCGATATTTTACGTAAGTTTCCCACTCCTGCCGGATATGGTCTAATCGCACTTGCCAAACCCACATTTCCTTTTCTGAGGCTTTCAGATGTCACCCAAAAGCAAGCTCACTTTAAACCACCAAGCATAAACAAGGCTCCACAGAACCTGGACACTACGCTACGTCCTGCCTCACCTACATCTGAATAATGTCTATGTATGCACAGAGCAAGGGCGCCAGGTACCTCCAAGCCTAAGAATCCCGTCGACCCCAGCCGCTTGCACGCATTATGTTTGGTTTGTTTACTAAATGCACCACAATCGGCAGGAGTGTGCCAGATACAAGGTTCTCACTCATCCCCAATATTTTTGGTCTCACTACCACACCACGAAAGCAGAGCCTTGTGCAAACACCAGCCAAACCTGGTAGAAAACTTAACTCCACGTATATATTTTACCTGAAGAAACTTGACCACTAAATTGCATTACGCTCGAAATGCAGGAGTGAAAAATTCAAGAAATGTGTTCTAAATGAACCTCACTGGATGAATATCACCATTTGAGCACTCATGTCCACAGATTTTAAGTCAACTCAGCTGATCACAAAATTTTGTCAAAAAAGTATCAGTCTTTATAGTTATTTAATTACTTTCTTTTTATTGCCATCATGCGAGTGCGATATCACTTAGTTCTTCTTTCCCGTCCCATTGCCTTTAAAGGTACCATCTGTTTCTTAAAATGTTGCCAATTTCTCTGGAAAATGCTCCAACTCCAAAACTGCACGTCTTTTATACATAAATTGGATTAGTTCGCCAGCCGCCCAAACACGTTTGGTATGCACGCAAAAGCGAACAATTCACAAGGAATAAAGGAGACAATTTCAAGCACGGAACTGAATTTTACCGCCTGTTAAACCCTCAGTTAGCTGAGCTTTTTTTGCACATGGCAGTGTTCGATAATGCTAAAGGTAAGCTTTGCCAGTGTGTACCTCATCAGGCGATCATACTAGGCTACCTTATGCTGCCATCTAAAGCTTTGAGACAGACTTGACGCAGCTAATACAGAAGTGTTTGGTGGTGAATTTCTGCTTTAATCCGCTTAGTTTTGTCAAAAGACAAATTATAATGCCACAAGGCATATAATTGGCGTATTTTGTTCCTTATTCTCGATCATTATATTATTATAATATTCTCGATTATTTGCCTCAAATTTCTTGAAGTGTTCCCTCATGGCTGCTTTAACCAGATGTTGTCCATAGTTGTCACGGTTTGCTGACTGGCAAATGACTGTACTGTATATATGCACCATACTTTTAACACAGGGATACTCTGAGCTACATAACAATTATATGGGGCAAATATCAGCATGTAGCATAAAGTCATACCATCCCATTCAAAATGTGAACGCAGCATCTCAAACTTTGTCATTACATATGAATAAACAAACCTAAATAGATGCCTTTGCTTCAGCTAAGAGGGCAAGCAGCAAAACTGGTATGGTTTTCTAAGAGTTATATTACTTTTGGATAACAAATATTGTTTTGTGGAGCACGCCCACTACTGCCCTTCACAGAGGTTAACTATGGCAATCAGAATCAGTTGTTGGAAGTGATACCAAGTGTTTTGATTTGTGCATTGTCAACTTTGCCTGGTGTCAACAAGCTGGCAAATGAACTGAATGAAAAGGCAAGTTGAAACCAGCCAAAAATGAGCTTTATCATGCTTTTATTACAAGTGCTGCTGTCAACAGATAGGTGAGGTGAGTTGATATGATGTTTAACATATGGGCTACTCGAAGTTTTGTTACGTTGGTTAATGACATGGCGAGTGGGAATAGGAATTGTGCAAGAATCAGTGATTCACAAATGCTGCTGTGATGCGAACAGGTTAGACAGGGTGAGATGAAGTAAAGCCTCTTTAGGGCAGGCATAGGTAGGCTACTTTCATGGAAATAAGCATTGTTTTTTGTGAGAAACAGTGACAAAATATTAAGTTTCCCTGACCCTATCTTAACACAAGCCAGAGGCATGCCATGTGTTTGGACTTGGTGATGGATTGATGTGTAGGGGTTGTTTTTTTTTTAGTGCTTTAGTGCCTGTGGAATTTTCCATTGTTGTTTTGTTGCTCAATTCCTTTGCTTTGTTTTGTGTTTAAAAAATATGTGGAAGGGAAGCGCAAAGTGCAGCATCAAGTTATTGCCGTTAAATAGTTTTTGATGCTCATTACACTGTTATCAAATAATTATGCTTTAATGTGTTCTGTTTCACTTTAATGGCCTAAGATGTTAAAAAATAGTTTTGTCAGGTTTAGGACATTACATCCATGCCTACTTGAAATATATGTCCTTCTTTGCTGAGGCATCTCTCACTAGCCCATGAGTTCCATCTTTTGTGAACTCAATTTTTCACTCTCACACGGTCTTTTTAGATGGAATTTTTCACTCCCATCTCAGTTCAAAAGCGATTCTAGCTCACCGCCTTCCCAAGTGCGAATGAAATTAGAAGTTGAGATCGGTACAAATGTGTATATATATATATATATATATATATATATATATATATATATATATTTATATTTATATATCTGTGTGTGTGTGTGTGTGTGTGTGTGTGTGTGTGTGTGTGTGTGTGTGTGTGTGTGTGTGTGTGTGTGTGTGTGTGTGTGTGTGTGTGTGTGTGTGTGTGTGTGTGTGTGTGTGTGTGTGTGCGTGCGTGTGTGTGTGCGTGTGTGCATGCGTGCGTGTGTGCGTGCGTGCGTGCGTGCGTGCGTGCGTGCGTGCGTGTGTGTGCATACAAAATTATAACAGCCTGAGCTTTCCATAACTGTTCTTCAATTCCATCGAGATTCACTTCTTGGTTTCTTAACAACCAAGTGGAAAACGTTAACGTTCGCGGTAATGCCAAAAAGTATTCCGCATCTTGAAATGCTTGCATGGAAAACCGGGTAGCTAAATCCATTGTATTTCGGGAAACTCCGTGGCTGCTTCTGTAAACATCAAAACCAAAAGAAAAAATACTTCGCTCTAGATTTGTTTCGGAACTTCCCGTTGAGGAGGTCCGCAATGGGCTGGTCCTCCAGCTCCCGATAAGAAGGGTCAGGTGGGTGTGTCGGTCCGCAATGGTCTATTCTTCTAGTTCCCCGATAAGCGGGGTCAGGTGAGTGGGGGGAGGTCCTCAGTGGGATGTTCCACCAGTTCCTCGATAAGTGGAGTCGTGCGGGTGTGGGGGTCCACGATGGGCAGATCCTCCAGCTTCCCGATTAGTTAGAGCCAGGTGGGTGCTCGCACTGGCACTTGTGCTGTCATCCATCTCTGCAAATTCTCATTATTATAGAATTAACGCAAATTTTGCACTATTTACAAAGGGGCTTGCCGTGGGCACCACATTTGTGCACGGATTTATGCTCAGCATGCAATACAACCATTCAGCATACACATTCAAAATTATGGGCAAGGAGTATGGCATATGCCGCTGAAGCATCGAACGTCATTGGTTCCGTTTGGGTTGCAGCGAATGGATGAACACGTGCTCCTTTTTGAAGTCCGCATGTCTTTTTCGGTTTTCGGAAACGCGAAAAAGACAAAGTTGTGGTTTGTTGATGCCACAACCGTTTCCCAAACAAAAATAAACACTGGGCAGGTGTGGTTTGGTAATTGGCCCAGGACAATCACAAACATAGCAGAAAAATTTTGATCTGGATTTGTTTCAATGATACGATTTGGTGAGACATCGTCTTGTGGTCTAAAGGTCATTTTGATAGAGACTTTCTGTCTTAAAAGCATGGTTTAATCATTACCGAGGGGCTCAACTCAATTCCCACCACATCAAAACACTTGACCTCAAAGTCTTTTCTTCAAAGAGGCGTAATGCTTTCTTAGAGTGTTAGACATTTTAATTCAAAGTTTATTCTCTACTAAGTACCATGTAAACAGCTCCCTGAGTATGCAAGACTTTTCCTGACGTTTTGTGAGTTACATATATGAAATACCTTTATCGGGCAGCTGAGTTATAATTAAAACGAAAACAGTAAGCTTTCCGAAACTGATCTCCCTTTCCTTATGTCATGGGCTGACTAGATTACAAGCGTCATTGAAATGTGAATTTTGTCAGAACACTGGGGCAACGATTAAAATTAGCAAATTATCCAATTAAAAAGCAGGTAGCTAAAAGGGTTTTATTTGGAAAGAAATCCACCGCTGCTTCTGTTTTCATCAAAGTCAAAAGGAACTTGCGGAGCTCCCACAACAAATAATGCTCCAGTGTTGTCAACACGACCTAACACCCACGTCAGTCCCACGGACGACTTAGAATACTTTTTGGTCACGTAAAATGACAGCTGAAGGATACGCCAACCAAAACTTCACCGCAGTGTCCTCGAATCTAAAAACACAAGGCGAAACACTCGCTAAGAGAAAAGCCGTGCCAGGGACCAAGTGAAAGGGTGTGAAAATCCCGGGGCAAGCTGGATGCAAGATCACCTTTTTAAAATCTGTCAGTGTCGTCCTCTAACTGTTCTCAATAACCTGTCCAGTTTCAGGAACGGATAACACCAGTGCTCCCGGTTGTATCGCATCTGTGAAATGCGCGTCTTTAGTGACCAAGGACGGCTCCTTAAGAGGGATGATCTTGCCATGCGCTTTTGAGTCCATCCCTGATTTAAAGGCTGCATTACCGACCCTTTTCGAAGGATGGCTTATCTACAGTATATTTTGTCCTAATTATATAATAAATATAGATATCACTGCCTGCGGCGCAGAAACCAACGCCATTCATCATAGTATTACAACGTGGTTATCATGGTAGCGCCTTTGTGGCATGTTCTCAGTGTCCTCTTCTGGTAGTTCCAAATTGTTAATAACCATGCTAAATGGTTATTTATGGTACTTATAATGGACGAAAGAATCTACCGACGTGCCAGTGCACGCCATAAAAAGACCGCGGGTTATTTTGATATGCCTACCACAAATCAGGCGTGGGGCAACTCTCACAAAATGGGCGCCAGCATTTTGTCGGAATTTGTAACAGCGATGGTGATGAAAAGTCAACCAGCTTGATCGCACTAGGTGGAACGGTGTAGCTATGGGACAGGAAAGTCTACTGAGGTTGAAGCACTCAGCCATAATTACGGATCTCCGAACACTGAACTCACAAGGAGCTTTGATTACCGTTTCAGGCTGTTGAAAATTTCAAGAAAGCATGTGCGTACCAGTTCAACGTCTCATCTACTCTGGGCTCTTCCGTCGAATCCAGAACCAAAACGTCGGACACGAACGGAGGAGCAAGAGTGAATCTGCCGGACTTGCTTCCGTTCAAAAACTACAGCATCAAAGCGTTCGCCGTGAACCAGAAAGGTCGAGGACCTTCCAGGACCACCAAGTTCCAGACCGCAGAAGCTGGTAAGCCTGTGGCAGCAAGTTCTTTGCACTATTTTGGTAGCTGGTATTTTATATTAGAGAGACTTATGGTGCTGAGGACTATGACGCATTTCTCGAATCTGTGTCATGGACACGTCTCCTGCCGTGCGCGTAGGGACAGTATCCACAGTAATAGCACTTACGCCACAGGAGACATTCTGGAACGTCCTTTTGCGCATCATCCCTGCTTTGCCCCCGTAAGTTAATCGTTACCGGCGTCTTTAACTTGTGTTTTAGGCCAATTTCCACCACATCTCCCTTGGGCACGCAATGGGCGAAATCCCCTAGTACGTGGTTGCGCTGAATCCAGCGTAGAAACATCTCAAAACCCAACGGACCGCTGAGCCAAGGATTCAAGACGAACAGCATGTGTGCTCCATGCCATTTGTGCCGGACAATGGCATCCGGCAATGTGATTCTTTTTTTAGATATTTTAGCATGATTTTCAACGCCTGAGCGTAGCGTCACGCCGTCGCAAACGCTCCCTTTCGCTTGCCACGCTTCGGTTATGCTCGACCTCTTACCCCCACCAAGCGTAACGCAACTCATGGACGGCCCGTTACACATTCTGGAATGGACTAAAGGTGGAATACACACGCGGCACATCCATTAAGCACTTCAGATAACATTTTGCGAGGCAGCTAAAGTTGTCTGTTGGCTGCTGTCAGCTGCGCTCGATCTTGCATCCATGCGGTTGTCCGGTACACAATCAGGTGCTGCCATATTTTGTACGTCAACAAGCTAACAGAAACGTCAACGATGCCCAATGGCGAGGGGCTGAACGATGAGATATCCCATTATATCAGCCTCGTCTTGTTAGCCATGCAGCCACGGACGCGAGGTCAAGTCTACAGGGTCGAACCCGGTGTGCGTCACGTGATAGCCGTTGCAGCAAAATGCTACCCTTAAGTGCTCTGTTTCGCCTGCGCGCCGGATTCCATGGATTTCTGTCAGCGTCCGATGATGAACCAGGCTTTGGATAGTTTTCGTATCTCGTATTGTGTGCTTTTGTTCCGGTTAGTTGTTACGCGTGCGGCACGATTAATATTTGGCGCGTGGCAGCCATCTTTTTGGCCGTTTCACTTGCTTGCATCAACTGTTCTCAATACTATGCGTGCGCGAACGAGGTGAAAGACGCCAACCAAACAATAAGTGGGAATTATGCGGGTATGGAAGTTCCAAGGAAGAAAACCAGCAGGGGTAACCATCATCTTGGGCTTCAGCTCTAGGGCTCATCAAAGATCTGAAATTTTGCAGAAAAAGGGAAGTCTTACCCTTCAAAAGAAGGAAATAGTTAACCACCAGATGAATAGAGCCAAAAAGGTAAACCGGCGCGGCCACCGCGGTCTGGAAGATAGAAACTAGCGAACACAACTCAGATTTCGATCCAGTATCCACAACCTGGGCGTCGTTGCGTTTTGCCCCAAAGGCACCGACAACATGCAAGCTGATGCCGCTTAAACGGCAAAAAATATTGAATCACTAATTTTCAGTTGCTTTTGCTTTGGTTTCTTTTAGTTTGTTCCCTTTTGGTTTGTAAGATTTTATGTTTGCGTTGTTTCCCTTTGTCCTGTATTTCATCATGGGTTCCCATACGGCCCAGTAAAAGAAACAACGTTTTTGAAACGGTATTGGCTTCTGGTGCGGGTACCTGGGATCAGTTGCATGCTCTCTGCTACATAAGGAACAGGATAATGTATTGTTTAGAGGATTTCGATCTGACAAAAAGGTCGTTTCAAGGGCGATCCCTGGAAGGCACTCTGCGTTATCGATTGCGAGACTGAAATCTTGCTGATGCTTCAAGTTTGCTTAAAGTATTTTGAGTGTAACCAAAAAATCATGTTGTGTTGGGTACTCAAAGGAACCTCTTTGTCGTGGCCCATAGCCGATAGAGTATCGTCCGACGTAGCAGTGTTACTAGTATTTCCCCCAGGAAGCGGTCAAACCGGGGCATGACAAGGCCATGGAGTTGAGATCACGTTGTAATGCCTCGAAGCCCCGCTCTTTTGTTTGACATTTTAGGGTTTTCTGGGCGTCTTAAGTACTCGTAAGTAAGTACTTAAATGCCCAAAAGTACTCGAGCCTTCTGCCCCAGAGCTCGTCCGTTACCTCCAGGGGAAGAGGGACGCATGGTCCCGAAAGCTCCCCTCCCCCTCCCCCCACCCCTTCGGTTAAGCCGCTGGCCCGGCACCCTGAAGGAAGTGGGCTCGGCAGTATGGAAATACTGGCCACCGTGCTGTGTGCGTGAACAAGATGGCAAAGAAGAGATGGTGATAGAGATAATTTTGGGCAACCCTTTCAGCAGCCTTGGCAGTGACAGAACGAATGGAGGTAGCACGGAATTCTGAGGATTTTTAGGCTCATCGGATCTTTAAACATGGTCTACAGTCCGTCTCGCAGTCAAAGCCCCTGGTAGGAATGCGCGAAAACCACCCTGCCATGATCTGGGCCTGTTTCATAACACAATACCATATCGTGCGCTTGAAAAAATTTGTTACATATGCGCAATGGACCGTCTAGAAATAACCTCATGCATGGGACAAAGGGCGGCTAATGCAGTACTACCGCAGCATAACACATGGTTGGTTGTTCGGAAAGCGTGGTGCTGCGTTTAGGTTAGGTTGCAATTGATGCAAAACTTTTGAAATCGATGTCGTAAAAGAAACTTCGATACTGCTGACTGCCGGTCATAAGCATCCACAAGTCAGTTAATTTTTCGCATCTCTACCTTGATAAGGCACCAGACGCACCGTACTCTCGGGGTGACTTTACCCTTGACACAGCGCAGCCAGAAGAGGCCTTTTTGGTCAGCCTGACTAGGTTGTAAGCGTATGGAGGGTGTCGTTTGGGACGTCAAAAATGAACAGAAATGTTTAATGCAATTCATGAAGGACCCTAAACGGGAGTTGACATGTTTTTGTCATGTCATTTGATGGGTTATTACTGTACAGTGAATAAATGGATTGAAACAAACTATATTTTTCCCACTTGCATTTGGGACGTCATTAAAAACGCTCATCACAAGGTGATATATTGTTGTGCCCATCTCATTTACCTAAATATTTGTGGTATGAACCCTTTAATACCTGCCTGCATTTTTCCGCCACTTTGGTTTTGAGTCATAGCAGAGTTTCAGGAAACGGAACACCCCGCCGACATGGCTTGAAGTAGTGCGATCAATAATATTGTGCAGAATTTCTTGCACGTTCCATTTCATTTCAAACCATCTGCACTCTATTTTGTAAGCGTCTTGCACATGCGCATGCCCATATCCATACCTTTCCCAAAAGCTTCAACCAACCCAGCCCGTTAGCCATGTCACGTGGCACCATGGGTTTATCCAATCTGTGAGGTATTTTACCCGACATCGAGGAAGCGAACAACTTTCAGCACGGCGTAAGAGCGGGATGCGATGGCGCCAGATGCTAAGGTAATTAATGTTATTTCAGTCATATTGCCATATATGTCATAGATATTGCAGCATCTATTGCCAAATTAAACGATGTAAGTCTAACAGTGGATGCATTTTTATTCAAGTGAAGTTGTTTTACGTTTAAGGGTATTAAAGCAAAGATCAGTTATGAAATAAGCTCACTTAGAACTATGGGTATGCTTTTAAGTGAAAGAGACTGCTAATAACAACAATAGCCCTCGATTTAGTAAATCTGCTGCTCCATACGCCATTGTTTAATTGCGTTATAGAACGCACGTATAAATTTGAAGGTACTACCAAGCTGGTCGCGCGAAATCGCCACCCTAGCACTCACCTGTGGTACTTAAATCACCTGAGAGGTGGCTGTGTTGGTGCCTGAGGTGTTTGCTTGACTAAATATCGTTATGTGATTGTGTTTTGGCACTTTCTCATGATGTTCTTGCATATTTTCCGGCGGGTTTAATATGCTTAGTTGCATTCACATTTTTGGCGGCGCAATGTTGGCGGCGCAATTGTTATGTAATTCGGTTGCATGTCTCATGTCCGTAGTAATTAACACTCATGTCGTTTCTTATATTTAGCAAAAACATGATTCGTGATGGAAACTTGCTCACCCTGCACAGCATTGGTTAATAACCAGTTTACGTTCGTTCTTTGCTGGAAGTCGTGTTCACGAACGCCAAATGTGCACGGCTCGGCGATTAAATTCTTAATTGGCTTGAATGCCACATGGCCAATAAGGTGACATTATATGAACGACGTGTTTGCAATAGTATGCATGTCTGAATGACATTGAAATAGTCCACACGAAAAAGACTGTATATTTTCGTGGGCGTGTACCTCAGACACGTAAAGGTCCGGCTGCGTGCCAGTAGCATGCATCGAAAAGGCGCCGAATTTACACGGAGTATGTCACCTCGTATGAACTTTTCACTTAATGTCAGACCGCACGAGTGCGATTTGATCAGTAATACCGGTTTTCTCGAAATTCTCCCCAGTAGCTCACAATTTCGATTTGAAGAAAATTCTGCGCGAGAAACCGCCTTCGACTCTGCGTATCACTATGAGAGAATTACATTTCAGTTGCCTTGCTTTTTCCACGTTGGTATTCTGTGGTCTTTGCACCATCGCAATGTAAAACGTTTGTGTAATGAATGCTACGAAAGCTTAAAGCGTTCTTAAGACAAGACATGCGAAAATGAAGCTATCATCCCGTGAATTCAACAAAACGGTACCATGGCTTGACTTCTCTCTTATGTCGCTTACCGCGGTGACTCTTTTTGAGGCGCACTTTGGCTTTGGGAATGGGAGTATCACATCAGTCCGCAGTGACGCACTGGTTCAAACTTCGACCAATCTGCTTCGCGGTAACAGGCCCTTGTCCCCCCCCCCCCCTGGGCCAATCACGAACGTTCTTATTATTCGCAACAGTAGAGGTGCCCCGGCGATTGTCATGACGGCGGTGGCGACTGCATGCAAAAGGTGTTCTGCTGTTACGAAGTGTTGACAGCATAATTTGGACAAAAAATCGTTACAATTGACATCTTCATAATGGCTTGACGGTACTGCACTGGCACTACCCAGTGCTAATATCAGACCTAACTGGCCTTGACACTTTACTAGAGTGTTTTTGGAATATGCCCCAAAGGTAGGACACTCCCTTCGGCAGGGTAGACGCCTTCCACCTTCGCGCTGCATTCAAGGAATTGCAGTGTATAATGGCCTCGCCTCAGGCAAGCCAACCTCCGGCCAGCGGTGACGGACAGCGGTTCTGCGTTCAGCAAATAATTGCTGTTAATGCCCACCTACCGTCAGCGTATGCCGGTGGCTGATGGAGCATGAAAATATTGTATACTTCGAAACAGCCGGAGGCCTAAAGTAGAAATGCTTTCGTAGCCCACGGTCCTGACCAGTGACTTTGTTTTCAGCTCCTGGAAAGGTGACCGAAGTCCAAGCACGGAACAAATCCGCAGTCGACTTTAACATCACATGGAAGGATCCCGCATCACCGAACGGAATTATAAGGGAATACGCGGTTGATATAGTGGTACGGTATATATCTTCAGTTGGAAGGTTCGGATACGGTGGTATTTTCAAAAGTGTAAAGTCAGCAAGCAGTTCGGTAAATATCGTAGCCATGAATCTGTCATGCGATGCTTACCAGCTCTACGAGCGAGCTACAAACTATTAAGTATCAGCGTAGATATGAAGTGGAGGCAATGTAGGTTAAATGTTATGCAAAGCGCTGTAACCGAATGTTTCGTTGTGTATTAAAATAGTGGCAAGAGAAACAGGACATACGCTACGCCTTCCCTCACTGTCAGTTTTTCAATAGAAAAACATTGCGCAAAGCAGCCAAACTGTAGATCACGTGTTCTTTACGTCCAGGAAAATTTCAAGGCAAAGAGGCAGTTTCGCGCATCCAAGTCACCGGAGAGACATACGTGCAATCACAGATCACAGGTTGCAAGTGATTAGCGCACACCATTTGTGAACGACCCTACTGGACAGATGCCGCAAAAGGGACCACAGGTGAGGTGGAAAAAACACGCTGCCACGATGAAAAACACATATTCACGTTTGGACTTGAGGTGACATGTGGCCACTGACAGAGTAAATTTTACAGCAGCCACATGTTTGAAAATACGCAAAATTTTGAGGGCAGGTTTTCCTGTGCGGTCATCAAGCAGGTGCTACATAACATTGTTACAGGGTTTGAAAGGTACGGGAGGCATGACGCTGTTATAGTGTTTGAAAAGTAAGGGAGGCATTCGCGTTCTATTGGGAAATTGTGTATGCATTCCAACAAGTGCAGTTTTCCTGCTCAGCCAAAAACCAGAGCGCACAAGCCAAGGGCCCAAACGCGACATGGGACATATAGCCGTTCGCACGGATTTGGGCAAGCTGCGGGTACCCATATGCGGTTTGCCCCAGTTTACCTCGGTTTTCTGATATCAACATGCACATGGCGCCACCTGGCTCTTAACTTGTGGAGGAGCAGATGAGAAATGCTAAAATATGATATTCTAACATCCTGCAGGAGTCACAAAAGCGCAAGCCAAAGCCGCACAAAGAGCAAGAGAGTTGACAGCTACCATATTCGGCCCTAATATATATCAATCCTTTGACAAGCACAAAGGTTTCGTAGTTCTCCCCAGCCAGACATGCATTTAAAAAGCCTATCATGCCGCCTACAGATGAAGCCATTGATGCATGGTTTGAGCACCTCCTCAAGCATGCTGGTTGTGTTTAAATGCTTGGCTTAATGCTCAATTATGTCAGAACCTTACTGTCCATGTCCCGAAACATAACTTGGTTACATTCGGATAGAACTGCTGCAAAGCAGACAGGGATAGCCATGGGAAGTAGAGCAGTCCCGCCACCCGCTATAGTTTTCATAGACGCGGTTGAATCGCTGTTTTTCGTCTCAAACCGATAATGCAGCCAGCCCTTCATATGAGGTACATGGACGATATTCTTTGTGTTTGGATGCACGGACCCCCAGTCCTCGTCGCCAACCTTGAACGTCGATTCCTTCCGCCAGCCCCCAGCTTCAGAATCAAGCGGTCAGACAGCAATTCAACGATTGCCTTCCTAGACATCCTCCTAACGGTGGAATTTTCAGGTCATTTCACCTGAGAGCTCTGCTGCAAACTCATGGTTTCAGCTAGCATACTCCATTACTGTTCCTCACACCCCAAACAAACAGAACGATCAGCACCGAACTTGCAACTCCTGCAAGCGAAACGCCTTGGCTATAGATACTAATTGGTGGATTAGATGCTACGGCGGTGCGACGAGGAAGGATAAAGGTGGGGGACATTTTCACCAAAAATGGCCACCCCTGCGCATGACAAAACACGTAGTACATCACAATCGCATGAGATGTGGAAAAAATACGTCGTGTCCACCGACGGGTAGAACATACATTTTACTTTCAGTCGTAGACTATAGCCCAGCTAAAACCGAAAACTCAAAATTACTTTCATCGGGCCTCTCCGCTTAAGCGGCATAGAAAAGTGGAACGGGCGCTTAAAACCGGCTTGTCCGGTCTGTCTCTGATCCTTTCCATGTCCCTCGGGTAACCGTAAGTATGGCACTTGCAAGGCAGGTGTGATGGGCAGGTGGACAGCGTAAAACGCCATGTACCAGGAAAGCTGTCAGTTGTGTACCCAGGATAAAAGAGCTTTCTATATTGATGAGACAACGCATCATGTATAAACAAGGACATAGTATGCGCTTGCGAGGCGCAAAAATTAAGCTTTTGAGGTTTCACTCCGGTGATGACATGCGTCTACCACCCCACCACTGTCCGTCCACTGTGGTATGTGTGTAATAGGTCGTTCGCCACGACGTGTGTACATCACCTGCGATCCGCGATCTGCAATCGCTCGTTTGTCGCTCTTGTGGACAAGACGCACATATACTGTACAGAGCCGAGACTTGTTTCCGATGAGATTGTCCTGGATGTAAAGAACACGTGATTTAGAATGTTGCTAGTTTTTTTAGTGTGTTTATGTTGAACAAACCAGCGTTGGGAAAGCAGTGAAATGAAACCCACAGGGCAAACACAGAAGTGTTTGCCCTGTTAGAATGCATCATGTGGTTTTTGGTTATTGCTTTTTGCTTAATCATGAAACCCAGTTGCAGCCTTACCGTGTCATTTTAAAGATACCGATATGTATGTGAATCAGTCGCTTATGTTCATCAGCGCCCAAAATTCATCGATTTTTATTTCAACCATTAGAAACTGGTATTTATTCAGAAATGCTGTTCCATTCTTACCGATTTACCCAAAACATGTTTCGAACGATGCATGCCGCTCGATTTACTGGAACTATAACATGTATTAACTGTTTGTTTTCGCAGCACAGGGAATATGCCGCGTGCGCTCAAGGGAAACGAGACAGACAAGATCGTATTTCGACAAGGACAGCTAACAAGTTCTTTCACGCCAGTCTCATGCACCCTTTTTCCGCCTATTCTGCCACGGTGAAGGCATTCACGGTCGCATTTGGTGACGAGACGAGGCATGACTTCGTCACTGGGGTCCAGGGTACGATCTCCAGCACGGTGCTACCATTAGCACCTTTTGTGGTGTTGCCCGTTCATGTCAACAGTGCATCTAAAATGTTTTTTTTGTTGTAAAACGCCGGTATTAGCGTGTTTATTACGTGTATAAGTGTGAGCGCAGGTATTTGCTGGATGTTTGGCTGAGTATACACAAAGAATCAGAGACCAGCCTACTGACCTTCACAGGGTGCTCTGGCCAAATGCTTCTCTCAGTGGCTGCGCAGCGTGGCATCCTGTAAAGTACCACTACAAGCATCACTTTCAGAGATCACTTCACTCGGCTCGTGCCCCAGCTGTCCAGTTCATCTCCGAGTTGCACACGCACAGGCGGCATCTTCGGGCGCCCCAGCTGTCCAGTTCATTTCCGAGTTGCACACGCACAGGCGGCATCTTTGGCCCTCCGATTGGCTCGAAGAACGCCCCTTACTTCAGTGTTAAGCATAATCGCAAAAGCCAGCATAAATGTTGGTCGATGGACGAAGTGATTTGCTGAGCTATAGGATGCCTCATTTAAACTATAACTTTTAAAATGTCTGTTATACACAACAATAAATTTGTTCACATCTTTTTTATCTACGAATGCTCCAACATTTGAGTTTTGGTTTGAATGATGAGCACACTTCTGTTCAAAACAAGTTTAATTGTGAACTGGCTCACTTGCCAATCGTTTTCGGGTGAGCTGGAGCTGAGTCAGCTGGTTAGGAAAAATACCGCTCTAAGCCATGAGCTGAATCATATTCTTCGTAAATTGTATGAGATCGATCATGAACTGATGATTTCTTGCAATAGCTTGTGAGCCATATGGTTCAAATTCAAATGGCAACATTAGGAAACACCGTACGCCCCAGACAAATCATACAAACCATTTATTTTAGAGTGTTTATATGTTGCAATTACAACAGCATGAAGCATTAATTATGAAACTTGTCGCTAACTCAGCACAAAGCTTATTAATGCAATTTCTAGGCAGTAAACACAATGTGGATCAAATCTCGGTCAGGAACCAGAGGATATTACAGGTTGATGACCTAGTTTGTCGTCACGTACCCTGAACTTGTTCCCAGTTCTTGTCCCGTGCATGTATCGACCCATCGTTGGACAATGCTATTAAGAATGTCGTTTAATGTATCCGACGTGAAAACGTCGTTTAACCAGCACATCATGATATATCGAAGGCACGCAGGGCCGATAACTAGTAGCAAAAGATCTCTGGGTCCACACTGCAATCACGAAAGCTAAGGTTTTTACGTGTTTTAGCTCCATCTGAAGGAGTGCTCTCCGTAGACGTTCTCGGACAACAAAGTGCCTTGACCGCATCCTGGTCGTGGCCGGACTGCAGCCATTGGAATGACGACAAAGAACATCTGAGGTGAGCAGATCGGTTCAATAAGAAGCAGCCGGGATAGGATTGACAGACCTATAACGTAAAGATATAGATGTGACGTAGCTGTGAAACTTTGTGTCTCACACTCAAAATATGTTCCGGTTGTCATCTTTCCATCAGTTGTGAGGTGATCATTGTGACACAATGTTCTGGCTGAGTCATTGATTCTAGGGCAGGCCACGTCGATATACCAATTCGTCCGTTTGTCCCGGAGGCAGCCAAGAATGGTACATTCCTTTAGTCGCCCAGTTTTCATGAGGTGATTCTGAGCCTTGTTTCTGTCATTTGATTTGAAAGATCAGAACGTTATTTACGTAGCTGACCAGAACCCCACGTAGCATTCTTTGGTGCAGGCAGAGGATCCAGAAGGCACGATCCCCCAACCCCGTCTCAGGTCCCGAGGGGCCTGGAGGGGCCCCGCAACGACGACTACTGGCCTGATTAGATAGCCCAAAGCGCCGTCTAAAGTGTCTGTGGGTCATCCTAAGGACCTCGGCCGCAGGGTAGGCGCCCCAAATGTCAGTCAAATGCTGTAATGTGATCAGGTCAGTTTACAAGTCTTTGTCGTGCCCAAAGATCACCAATACCGGACAGGCGACTCCTTGTCCGTCTGAGACTTGCGGGACCATTTCGAAGCCAAGTACAATGATGGACCCGCGATTTAGTTTGGTCGAGACCCATGAAAGGATGAGGGGCCCATTGTACCCCGAGCACTGCCGGGTGGAATAAAATCAAGAAAGTATTATTATCACCCCTCTACAGTTCGCGGCCATGCAACTAGAAAATTGTATTTTCCAGGTTGGTCGTGGAAGCTGTCGGCAGCAGCCCATGGAACATGGGGTACTCCGAGGAAACTGTGCTTTCACAGAGCGACTCGCAGGTTGAAGGCCTGATACCCTTCTCCAAGTATTCCCTGCGACTGTATCTGAGCAACAGCGCCGGAAGATATCCGAAACCTTATGTCACCAACGTCACGACACTTGGATCCGGTACGCTCCACACTCGTTTTGCGACGAAATTTCACAATAACTGGTGTTCATCGAAGGACAAGTCGCGAGCTCATAGTGGTGCAGTAGGTCCGTTTCTTATCGACATACCTTTCGCATCGCTGCTACGACACCCGTTCCTTCGATGAGGACAGATCGCCGAGGACCGATTTGGCGCCTCGAAGGCTTTCTGTTTTAGCATTGCTGAGAACGAGTACGTTATTTTGATTCCAAAAACAGCTTTTCATGATAGGTGAATCCAGTGAATCCAGTGAAGCAATAGGATCTCTGCACCTGATCTTAGACCGTTAAGATATGGAACTAGAAGCCGTCATAATTAACAAGGCCTTAGGGGTTAATTCGCCCCCCCCCCCCGCCCCCACCATCGAAGGGTTTCAAAAAATAGCTTTCGTACACCGTTGCACAGTCTTGGCAAGCTTTGTACAGCTGCAAGCACTTACACAGATCATTTGGCGCAGCGAATGAGACGTTCTATTATCCTTGGGCCAGGGTCGGATCAAGGTCAATATCGAACCGTGTCATTTGTGAAAACTTGTTTTATGACATTATTTACGTTCATTTCAAATTCCCGGATCACACTGACGTCAAAAAATTTAATGTTCTTACTTCTTGAAGTTCAAGGGAGACTATTGGCCTAAAATGACCTCGGTCAAACTTTTGCCTGGAGGAGCATGTCACCTCTGGTAGTACGTGAGTCGATTGGGGGTTTATATATGAAACTAATTCTCGAACGTTGCTGGTCATTTTGCCCTCCAAAAACAAAATAAGGCCGTTGGCATGATATCAACGTCAATGGCATTCCACTTTTAAGTGGTACTTACACTAAGACTAGTTGTATGAGGAGGCTAAAGGGCACTTTGCACACCGATCTGGACTTTGACCTTCTTGACCCGACTGTTCCAACCTGAGGACCTTAACATCTAACAAGAGTGAGCCGACGTAAGGGCATACGTACCCTGTGAACTTGAGGTGTGTCTAGCTCTCTTACTTTGTAAGATCTCAGGTGATTAATCTGATCCCACCACAGCATGCCGAATTTAACCGACCAGTCGGTTGCGTGTGAGGATGCTGCTACCGCTTGTTCACTTTCCGTAACACCTATGTCAAGACCAAAACTGCCCAGACTAATTGCAACCTTATGGAAGGGCTGCTAGCTGCAAAAAATATATCAGAAAAACGGTAGCGCACAGTGCAGCCGTCTTAACGTTGAAACCAAGAACGATTTTAGACGGTTTTCAAATGTTTTCCAACCTATTGTTTGGCTTTGGGTTTTCTGTGTTGATGATGATGATGATGATTTGAGGTTTTACGGCGCATCGACTGCTGTAGGTCATGCAGCGCCCAGTGGGGGGGGGGGGGGTCTGTGTTATTCAACATTGCATGCACTACAGGTAGGCTGTAGGTTCTCTATTTACCAGCCCCAACAGTTAAGTATGCGAATTGGAATGACAGTGGGTGACATTATGCCGCGAAACATTTAAAGAAACGAAGTTCAGTCTATAGAAGATGTCGACATCTGGTGCTATGCACACCAGCCCACCGGCACGTGGAACTGCTGCGGAGAGTCCGCGTCTCATGCACTGTTCCTAAGGACGTGGTGCTGTTTCAGTCCCCGGAAAACCGGTCAAAGTGACTATCACGCTGAAGACGGCCACAAGCATCAACGTTGGATGGGACCAACCGTCTCCCCCGCTAGCAGACATCACCTCTTATGTTATCCGTTACCAACGCCAAGGAGCATACGCATGGACGAGCCATGATGCCAAGCGAGCCGAAGCCTGCCAATCCACTGGTGGGCACGGACTGCAATGTGACGTGAAAATCCCCGGGCTGGAAGAGAATGCCCACTACACTTTCCAGGTGAGAGGGACAAGGTACAAATAATGTAGAGGCAGACTTTCGATCAAGTATCCGTGTGATTTACGCTCTCGTGCAGTGTGGTCGCGAGTTGATTAGCTGTCAGTGTAAAAGTTTGGCCACATCTTAATTACTAATTTCCGAGCGTGCGACTGCCTGTCTGCCTGTCTGAACGTATTTTTGGCCAGACCCACAGCATGCACGATGATATGGATTCATACCCGTCCAGTGCCGGTATCGGTCACAATTTGTGCGAGAGGGGTGCGTTTATTGGCATCCAGCTGTGACACACTTTTCTTAAATGTAAGACAAGCAACTTGCGGAGAACCGAAGCCGTTGAAAATGAGCCGTCGAAAACCAAGCGCCGAATTGTTAAAAATGATCTAGCTTCTAAGGCACCGTCCCGTCTTGGTGGCTTTTCAAAACTTTTTTCTCTTGTCCTATTTTCTTCGTTTCTATGCACCGGGATCGGTATCGGGAAGGTGCCTCCAAAATTTCGGAGGGGTTCGGGCACACCCCAGTACTCTCTGGCCGCGTCAGGCTCTGGTTGCCGCCTCTACGTACCGTCCAGTTTTACGCTATTTCTCTAGTTTTACGCAATGGACTAGTGTGTAGTATTGTTTTGCAAGGCATACTCATAAAGTAACGACGATCATGTGACATGTATTTTGACATCAAGAAATGACACATCTTTTCAGTACAAAAAGGCTCGCGACATCATGCGAAACGTTGACGATACTTGGCCTGGTCGAAAATGCGCTTGCACTGCTTATTTGGCACGTCACTGTCAAGGAGTGGCGCGCTAATGACATCGTGACGTCAGCACCGTGCGCTCCAACGGACGCTCAAGTGCTGAAGACTGCGGTATGGCCAGCTGGTCCGAGGATGACAGCATTGGCCCCGCACAGTGGGCGTCACACGCATGACAATATCCGATTTTTGCTGCACTGCCAGCGAAGTACTGCTCCTTTTATGTTCCACGCTGCTTGTTATGGAGGGAAAATGGCATGTCATGAGCGCACCATGCTTGGAAGGAGACCGGTCTTAAACATAACGCAAGGGAAGAACGACGATGAATGTAACGTCCCCACACGCGCAAGAATTTCCAGCGGGCGCAAGCACTAAAAGCTCAGACGAACTGATTGGGACACGCTCTGCAGCACTGATATGTGGATCAGCGTTGTGGCTGAAGACGGTGCAATAGCAACGCCAGTGGCATCGGGTCTTTGCGTAGCGGAGCAAGCAGGTACCGCTTGTAACTATTGAAGTCGTCAGATGTTTCAGCAGCAGTCCAGCCTGACTTAAGTGTGCTGGTGCTAAGCCAGCCTCATGCTCGAGCTACTTGTCAGGCAGCTGTAAGCTGCCACGCGATCTAAACACGTGTCCTGACTACAAAGCGTGATAAGTCTGAGGCATGTTGTTCTGTTGCAGGTGTACGCTGTTAGTGTAGCCAACGGAGTGGGAGAACGCGTTGCCGTAAACGGTACCACGCAAGAAGGAAGTAAGTGTCAGGAATGGGTGTTTTTGAAGCTCTCTGAAGTTGTGCACAAACAGTCCAATGGCTGCGTCTCTTTCACCAGAATTTGAGTGATTTAACTTAAAAAGCAGCTGCGATGAATGTTTTGCCTTAACGTTCATTCCTGCGCTTGTGTGTATTTTGTCTTTCTTTGATACGTGAAAGAATAAGTTTTGTGTGACCCCGCTGAAACGTCATATCTCACATACGCATTCGTCTATTACGTCCATGGCAAACGTGCCTTAACGCACCCCGGGGCTCCGCTCGTATATATTTGACATGTGTGATTATTGTTTCCGTGGTCATTTTCACACAGGAAAATGCATAGCTTTAGAGACAGATATCTCATGTTTGACTGGATACATTTAGTGCCGTACAATATATGGCATTACGATGAATCCCTTCTCAGGGCCTGGACCTCCGCAAGACATCAGGTATCTGGAGCGCGGCACGACATCATTGAAACTTTCGTGGCGCAGTCCTATTCAGAGAAACGGAATCATTCGTGGATACCAGCTGAACATTTCGCTCGCGGCTACTTCGTCAGAAGCGAACTCCGATGCTGCCCCGTTTTTGCGCAGTTACAACATATCAACGGACATGAAGGAAGGTAACTGTGCACCAAGAAATGATCCGACGATAAAATCAGACTGCACGCAAATCAGACACCAAATCAGAGTGGCGTGACTCAACAACAATGCCTGGTGAACGAGCCGATGACAAAAACAAAACATGCATGTGTTCTGTCTGTACTGCATTACCATAGAGCCCCGTAAATATATAAAAAAAAACACAAGCCACATGATGTATATATCTGAGTCCCTGTGTTCCCTGCTTTCGTTACCAGTTGGGGTGAACTGCCTGACGGTAAATATTTAATCCTTCGACACGGAAAACCCAAGCCTGCTTACAGTGATGGCAAGTAAGAATTACAGCCTGCATAGACACAAAGTTACGGACACAGAATTGCCAGGTCTAGGAAATCGGTCAACATGAACTGCGCAAGTCAAAGTGCATACCATATAGGTAATGAAGTACAGCTGGTACATCAACGTATGCCATTGAGATGGGCTTCAGGACGCCTGGGAATCACTTCGCATCACTGGCTATCACTAGTTGTTGGCTATCCTTTAGCATTAGCACCACTAGCTGGTGGCTATCACACCAGCTGTTTCTTTCCATTCGTGGCACCCCGCTCGCTGTCTACTGGTTGCAGTCGATGCTGCGTACGTGCACGAGGAGCGCGATCTGAACCAGGGCCGTCGGTACCTGGTGCGCGTGGCGGCGCGCACGTCTGTCGGCTACGGCAATGCTAGCCAGCAGGAGCTGGAGACGTTGGTGGCACCGCCGCTGATCAAGACCCGGCCGCAGCTGCGACCAGACCTCACCACTGACTCTACTGTTCACCTGAAGCTGACGCCGATAGCGGACACCGGCGGGCCCATCCCGGTCTACTTCGTGGTCGTGTCCAGCGACCCCGATTTCGACGGCACGCCGCTGACTTCGCAGACATCCACGCTGCCCAACGCTGACGAGGCTCGGGACCGCAATCTCGACTACTACGTGGCTGCCGCTCTCGACGCGGTGCGATTTCTGGGGGGAGCTCGGCGACTGCTAACGCTCTTGACGAAATGTCGTGATTGGAGTTGTATTAGTTCAGTCACGGCATGTCGCAACTGAAGTTGTAGAACTGAGTTGAATCAAATCCGCTTATTTCGAGTAGAGGTCATCTCACAAACGACATGTTTTATGACCTTAGTGTGTCATTGTCCAATTGCATTTTTTGGTAACAGCAAAGCACTGGTTCCCAGTTCCTAACGTTTTTTTCATCCTGTGAAAGTATTCAAACGCAGACTGTATAAGAGTGGTAGATATCGTTAAGATCACGTACACCGCATGAGGCATGCTGTGTTTTCCATCGAAAATGTTTGCTTATTCAGGCTATTGGTCAGGTGTCGGCGCGCAGGGCGTCACCAACCAGAATCGGTGTTGCAGGAACACGTGACCCAAAACGGCACGTTTGTTGTGGGCGACGGTTCGCGCGACAACAGCACGGGCCGAGACTTCTACAACAAGCCTCTGGAAACGGGAGAAACCTACCGCATCGGAGTGGCGGTGCTCTCAAAACTCTCGGAAGAGAACCAACGCCTCACTTTCCGTGGCATTGGGGCTCCCGTCACTGTGCGAGCACCCACCGGTAAGCAGGACCCCAGCAGAGCCACGGATAAATCGATGGCAGATATCCTCAGGAAACTATAGGGGTTCTCTGCCTCTCCCACCACCCTGTCACGGCGAGGAATAAGTGTTCCTTAGGGTCCTTAGCTTGTACAATTACCGAAACATGTCACGGTTAGGTCATGCCAGTTAGGTCACGGCAGTTATGCGACCAACATTTGATCATTACCTGTGACACTGCCTAGATTTTCCACATGTCGGGACCCGGATCCGTACATAATTATTTAAAACACTTCTTTAATATATCAAGCCTTTGACTTTCTATGTGTGTTTGCGTTAGGCAGTGTCAGACACATAATGGGGCATTCAGACCGTGTTTCAGGTCTTAGGGGATTTGGCATTTGGTGTTCTCAATGGCCCTCCAGGTAGTGACGGGGATCATGTGGTCCTATAGTCACCTATTCCAATGATCATCATAGCTCATCTTGTTCCATGTTATCAACATCGAATCGACGTTTCCAGAGCGTTGTTATGATAGCAGACTATGCAACAGAAACTACTTCCAACTGTTAAATGTTGCTAGCAATATTGCTGCTATTCTGCACCCAGTCAACCTCTCATACTGCTGAAAGCTGGGGTCAGCTGCAGCAGCTATCAGTGTTGTGTGTTGAATGCGTGTATTGCGTAATTCCCCTTAGGACCTTTGAAGCTGGTCGACTCTGTCAACTAATACCTTTATTTTCATCGCCTTTGTATCGTCTGAAAGAGCGCCGTGCTCTGCACATTCCGACCTACAGCCTGTGTCCGACCAACCAGGAAATGCTAACCAAATCCCACGATAGGTTGCACCTCAACGCTTGAATTTTCACGTTGAACGTTGTAAATAAACAAGTCGGAATACCTCAAGTAAGTTTTATTAAGCTCGAACGACAAGAATGTCCACAATGCAGGCAACCAACGCATTTTCAACAGATTTGCGTCAACTGTTCATTATTTCCGGGTTTTGAAGGCCAGGGTCGAGGGAACCATAGGGGCTTGGGGTAAAAGAGTTTGCTGATCCTTCAACTTTCTAAAAATGCAGCACTGCCTACGGACGCTGGCTGTAAATTAATAACCTAAAATAGGCTCCGCCCGGTTCTCACATTTGGAGAACTCCCGTTGGTTCTGCTGAAACTCTAGTCTGGTTGTCATTTGTCATCTACGTTTGAGAGCTTTCATGGTTGTAAAATTCATACTGTTAATTGAAGACGAAGCTGCATCGGACCAATGGTTCAGAAAATGAACGAAAATTGATGAATGGGCACTGGATAGACTGGAAAATAATATGTCTATCACCGCAAGCTGTGGAAACCACAAAAATGCAAAAATGCACGCACCGCAAAAATGCCACTTGTACCCCCAACGCTTTGTGCTCTGAGCCCAAACAAATTTTCAAAAGTGATCCGAGGCACGGCGTGAAATCAGGTTGATTTGTCTCCGTGACCCGTTTTGCCGGATTTGTTTATATCTGTAGTATCCCAAACTGCTCACAAACATAGGCCTTTAGGAAATTTGAGCTTTTTCCACTTTTCCATTTTTACCAAATTCCCCACTTTTCCCTCAGCTATAGGGGCTATCGTGGGCATACTATTCGCCGTACTGGTGGTCCTGATAGTCGTCATGGTCGCCTTCATCCTGTACAGGTGAGTTTTCTTTCCCTGCAGCCGGTCACGTGTTGAAGCTGAAGTGTCGAGACAAGTATTTTTGAGCGACGCATTTCAGAAAGTTATGCTGCCACGCGTGCGCTTTTAACGTAGTTATACTTGTGATGCGTGGAGTTCAGTTTAATGATCATGATCATGATCATGATCAATGAGCTAGCCAATCACCAAGCATCGACAGAATGCCCCCTTCCTGAGGAAAGGGAGGCGCTGCATGTAGAGAATCGGTTTCGCATGTCAATATCAGGAATTGGTGACTACTCAGCGACGAGCAATTCCTAGCAAAGCTTCGGCAAAGCAACTCCAAGCATGTCACATGTTCTCCGTCGTCCAAACCAATGTTCCATTCGTTTCACACGGATTCAATTGAAATCCGGAAGCGTCTGCATCCTTTAAGTACCGTTCAATTCCGCAACCTTGTTTTGGCCAACGCAACTGTGGTTAAACCCAGCGTTCTGGTCAACGTCGATTTACATGATTGGGATATCTCCTCTTTCTGGAGTTGGTTGTAACGTGATGCATGTACCAGCTGGGACGTTGGCTGTGATGCTGATACCACTGGGCGGGGTAGTCGAGAAATGCGGCTGTCCCGTTAGCTTGGTTCGTTGGGCCGCTTAACTTTTGATTCTCTCCCGTGGTGGGGTGTGTTCACGTTTTGGACGGTCTTTGTTTGCTTCTGACTGTGATGATATCGACTGTGGTGGCTTGCAGCCGAAGGCAGCCGCGGCGTCAAAGGTCAGGGGACGTCAGTGATCAGGATTGGCGATGCCGAATTTGTGGCACCTTAAAAGTTGGTCCCAAAATTATTTTGTTCAATCACGACCGGATGGGCAGAGTTACAGCTTACGCAACAAGTGCTCCTTAGCTTTGACGCTGCATCCAGAAATCTGTCGAACCAGCAAGTTTGGATTTAGTTTTACTTAGTGTAACCGGAACCGCCGAGGAAAATATATAAACCTTTGCTATAGCAGCTGCAATAATGTTTTGTACCTAATTTCAGGAGAAGACAACTATCAAAGTGGAAGAATGATGCTCCCCAACAAACGGCGGGTAAGAGAAGTTCCTTTATTTAACATGAATGTCCGCAATGCAGCTGTATGAGCATGGGGTGTTTTCGGCAACCCGGCTTCCGCCGTTGGTCCGCGTCGTGGGATGCCGCCATGTGTTCTTGTTAGAGCGCATCCTTGGTCTCGCTGCGGACGCATTTGCGCATGCGTTCTACCGAGAGCAATATTTACGTGAGGAGCCCAATGCTCAGTCTTCGACTCGGATGACGCTCAGCGCACGACTCGTCACGCGGGGCTGGCGTTTCTGACGTCAGCACACACGTATATACATAGAGCGACTTCAACGGTTCTGAGACTTATGGCACGCACGCCTAAAACGGCTCAGATCCTACTCAACGGTAATCTATCTGGTAAGGGGCCCGCTGGATATCAACATTGCCTCCTCTCACCACCACCATCATCACTACCACCACCAGCAGCACCCTCACCACCCACTCTTTGTCCATTCGACGCCTCCCCGCATCAACTCGAAGCATACTCATTCTCCGGCGCTCGCACTGCACCGCGCATTCTGGTAAGCACATGGGTTGGAGCCCTGCCCCACCCGTGCCCCTCCCTTGCATCGCCTCGGCAATATAATGGTTATTCTGAGCGAATCCTCAAGAGGTAAAACAAACCGCATTCCATCCATTTCAAATCTCCATAGAGACTTTGTTTAAAATGTTGACACGTACTCAATCATGTCGCGTAGTGGTGTATGGCAATATCACATCAGCTGCTAAACCGATAGGCATCATCCCACCCACGGTCGGATACACAATGCTCAGCCCAATATCTCCCTCTCGGGCTATAGCTCCCTTCGTGGATCGTAGGTTCCTCGGTCGGCTGTTCAGGTCCGAGAGTTTCGAAGGGTCGACCGGGGTCCTGGGGTTCCTGGAGAATTATGATGCTCGTCTACCGACCAGATGTCCCAGAACTGAGAAGGCGACCCCAATCCTTACCATGTGCCTGGTGCTGGGCAGCTACCCAAATATGTCGAACAGGACCAATACCAAGACCCCAGTGTTCCAGAGAACCTCCTCCGGCGTCGCCCAAGGACATCTGATTCATTGAGGGGACGCTATCGGCCAAGGAGCTCGAGTACTGAATAGGAAACTGGGCAATGCATCTGTTTATCTGCCGTGGATCCCGATACTGAATAGGAGATCCACGACACCGAACAGGGGCTCCGTAAATCCACGACATCAAACAGGAGTTCCGTGCCGGCCAGGACTCCATCAGCAGATCAGGGGCAGAGTCACGGTCCCAGATTTCAGTCAAAGAGACTCCTCTTGAGTCACTAGGGAAACCCGTGAGACTATGAGAGGCCCTCTGGTCAGGTGTCCCGGCACCGAACAGCGTCCTCTATCAGTCAGGGACCTGTGGGGGCCTAGGGACCTAACCTGTGGAACAGGGACAGCCAGCCTCCCATAATTCAGCAGGGTACTCGGGCACGGAAAAAATGAGCTCAAGCCTTGCAGATGCGGCGAGGAAGCTCTGCCATTGAGAGAGGTCAAAGGGCTTGACATTTAGCCGCATGAAGGTCTCCATGCAAAGGGCTAAAAGTTCCACATTTATATGGGGTTTATTCGAGATTATCACGCTGAAGATGATTTTGTGCAGTTCACAGCCATACCCTATTGCAGCGCCCAAGTCCCGTTGTCTTTCTGAGCCCGATGTACACCAACTGTTGCAGACTATTTCAAAATCACTAAGTTACTCATAACGTCATGCGAACGTCACGCAAATAAAGTGATCTTAAATCACGATGTATGCCTGCCGCAATATATTCAAACGTGGAGCATTCCGTTTAAGGCTTGGACATCGGAACACGCTCCCCGTAACAGGAATGGCAGCTTTTTGAAGTTATCGACGCTAGAAGCGTTTGCGTCAGAAGTTTTGTCGCGTAACACTTCATGCATAAGGAGCTCTTGCATGAGAGGTGATGTTTTTGTGATGCTGTCTCTTCCTAGTGTCTCTTATCTAGCATTACTTGTGGAAATGGATGGAAGATTTTCGTCTTCTCCCTTCCATGGCTGCTAGGGGTGAGCAGCTGATCTGGTCGTCGAATGTTAAGGTGTACCCACAGCGTTCTTTATTGCAGAGAACATCCGCATGCGTCCTGCGGTAGAGCCTTTGGCTCTTGACATTTACAACCCTCCAGAAGGTCCTGAAGGCCCCCAGGGCGAGCATATCTACGAAAATCTCAAGGTAAGTTGGCAAACGTTCGAATACTAGAAACACTTGCCATGCTCCAAGATGCCGTACCTTGCGATCAATCAAAGTTATAAGAAAAAATCGTGTGGTGCGCATCGTCACGCAACACTTCGTGGAGCGGTAGCCATTGCAATGATTATTTAAATGCCCTGGAATCATAGCGCCAGCTGCGGGTCGAACTCAGAATTAGCTGTTGCTGACTACGCGGGCGATCAATGTCCTTACGATTGTATGCGCCACTAACTTTCGAACATCTCACTACCACTGTATTGGTAAAGCTTACTTATAGGGAGTGTCCCAATGTTTGGACATATGAAAAACATACTTTTGTGAAGTTTAAGGACCAGTTGCGTTCAATAATACCACCGGGTAATGTCCTGCATCACCATCAATATATGATGACGAGATAAAAGTAATTGTTCTCGAGTCCATATTAATAGTTAACGTCTGTTCATAGCAATGCGCTGATTTCTTTTGTCACAAAATCCACTTTTCATCATCCAATAGCCCACTGTGTGGCCGTATGCCACCCACCAGCCATCAGTCACACGTAACCGCCGCTGCATACGCTGGATCCGCCGGCTGATTGACTTGCCGTCGGTCGGGCGGTGCATTGTTGCATTAGCCAGACGTTGCCGGATGAGTCATGTGTAGTTACTACAGCCGTCTCCGTTCAAGCCCAGGCATCTAGCAAAAGATCATTCACCCGCATGCCATCTGTTCCGTCGAAACATTAATTATGCACTCCATCCTTAATGCGATACGGTATTTCCTTTTAAAAGTCGCCCGCAGCGACTCACCAGCCATCTGTTGCACCACATCATTATGGGATCGCGGGGCGATCCCATACTCTGTGATTGCTTAGCCGGGACTGGCGCGAGAAGGACCCGCGCTAACGAGGCTGACACTACTTTCAGTATCACGCCGACAGTTATAAAGCTGCTACAGAAATCTCCAGAATGTTGCTCAAGTTAATGACAACTGCAGTTGCCGCGACCGTCGTCTTCATGACAACGAGCAGTATCTGCTAAGAGACGTCGCCGGCTGTGGCGGACTAGATATGCAACTTTTGAGCTGTTCTAACTCGCACAACACGAGCCTGCGGGCTTAAAAATGGCACCCCTGCTGTGTGGCACAGCGGTTGGCGAAGGCAATTTGCCGAGAAGTGTTTTGGTGTGTCACTGTAAACCTCGTGATATTCTGTTTCCCAAAACCCAGCTACATTTCGAAAAGAAAAACTGCTAGACACGGTAGTGGAGAAATGAAAACCATAGTGTCACGTTTCGGTGACTGCGTGACAATAGGTATACGTGAAGTATATGTTTCTTTAACTGGGGTGCTTTAAGCTTTCGTAGCATTTATTACACAAGGCCTGTGACGAATAAGTGCGATGCAAGCATTACAGACACACGCTGGAAAAGGCAGAGCAAATGAAAAGCATGACTTCAATAGTGGTGAGGAGGAGCTCCAATGATATTTCTCACGCCTGAGTGGCGACTTCAGATACAGATTCTGAGCTATTTTAGAAATTCGAGAACACTGAAGTTCTGATCAAATCGCACATGTCTTATTTCACAAGAAGTTGAAAATGCAAAAATTGTGGGCATTGTTCTGAATTCTAGACGTCATTTAACCAACACAAACTGAGCTGCACTAAACCACCCGCTATGATTTGACTTCGGTCATTTTTAATGACTTCAAGGAGTTTTGAAAAGCTGCACAATACACCTGTGTATCGTACACGATATAAATGAAGTGCATATAGCCAGCTGTTCTAGTTTGTTAGGAGACGTTATTGTTAACTGTCTTAAAATGTAGCGTTTTTGGTCATTAAGTTATGGTGGTATTTTCATTTTCAAAAATTCAGCGAGAAAACATCTTCAACAAGTTGTGAACCGATATGGTCTAAAAGGTCGTTACAAACGAAAAGATCCAGTTAATTGTATTACCTGGTCTCTTTCAACGTAAACATCAACAAAATTAACGTAGGATCTGCAGCACCTTGTGCCGCTAACAATATCGGTACTACCACACGCCAAAGGCGCATATCAGAATAGTACCGAAGTACCCAACTTTTTTAGGTAGATACGATTAGCTGCAAGTCATTCTTAGCTCAATATAATCTTTATTATCAATGTCTTTTTGCAATGTACTCACCCGCTGCGTGCTGAGCGAGTGTTATATGGCGTCGCCTGTCTCTCACCCTGGCTGGAAGGCCGACACCGCGTAAAGGGGACTTGGTGGGGCAGTGTTTCAGATGGACAATATGTCAATGGCATTTGTACGACGGCTCGTGCAATTGCTGAATCTGCTCACAGTCGCTCTTTGATATTGAAGCATGTCAGAAAAACAGACAAGTGAACTGGTGGTCTACGGAGGATATTAACGCAGCAACTAAGGCAGGAAAGGATTGCATTTGACATGGCTAAGTCAGGCAATGCAATCGAAAGCGAATATGTAGCGTAAAGGACTTTCGGCTTAAGAGAAAAAAAAATCTGGCCTGTGGCATGGTTACGTTCCTATCATTGCGGTATCTTAGGTCGGCTTCACCTCTTGGTAGGTTAAATTAATGACTTGGCGACGAACAACTTCGGTTTGACGATCCCGGATCAAGATGTTTTCACGTGTGATGCGGATGCTACGAATACAAAGTTAAGTGCGCACAGCAACCCATGCATGAGCAAAACGTTCGATGAACCAATGTGTTACCGTGGGCACGGTGATATAGGTCATTGATGCAAAACCGCATCTACCTATAGGCAGACATATGCCTGACTCCTATTGTTGTCTCCTGGCCCTGACTGACCTGCACTACTGGTTGTTCAGCAAACACCATGCGCCGTTTCATGGTTTCCGTTGTTTTGTTTTCACAAGCACCAGACTCAGGTTCCTGGTTCTCGTTAATTCGTTCATAAGCACCAGCGTCTGGTTCGTGACTCGCGTTAGTTCCTGATAAACATTGAACCCTTGTCCCTGGTTATCGTTGTCTCTTTCACAAATACGAGCTGCAGTTCCCACTCTCTGGAAAAGATACCCGGCGTCAATTATATGGCGAAAACTCAAGGGTGATACATGCTACACACCTATGTTTACGCAGTGAATATGTTTGCCACAAAAATACATATTGCGTGTGAGATAGCATAGTGAACAATGAAGAAATCTAGCCGCTAAAGTGCGATGGGGCGACCAAATTTGCTTCAGAATCCGAGGCCATCGCCGCTAAATTCCATTTGGTGGCGGCCACTTTCATTTACGCCTTCTCAACTTTCATCTACGCAACTTTCATCTTTTCTTATCACTTCATCAACTTTCATCACATTGTCTGTTAACCCCATATAGGGCGTGGATCTGGAAAGTGCACCATAAAATTTTCGACGATGATGATGATGATGCATTTGCCATAAGGTCCATGGTGGCTTTTTAACTTAGGTACATCATGATAAGTACACCATTTAGTTCACATGGTACAAGAGCAATCATGCCACTCGCACGTGACCACGCGTTCATGAGCAGCATTAAGTCATACAGAAAAACTGCTAGTCCGAGTTCATTTGACAAACCGAAATCGACACCATTGTCCGTGTCACGTGGCGTCGAAAAGCCCCGGGATGAGGGCGGATGCCAAACCTATTTCCACGTGCCAGGGTGGCCGGCTGAATACCATTCGGGTGGGGGGTCAAATTGACCTCCTGATATCTCCAAAGCTGAGCTAGCTTTAGACATCAAATTCGCAGGTTGGCCTGTGTGTGACCTTACTTGCGTCAAAATGTGTTGTTTCTAGATCATAATTTAACGATCAAATAATGTCAAACCAGGTGTAACTCCTATATTGGTAGGCAATGTGTCCCTAGGCTTCCTCATATAACCATCGTGAACCTGAATACCTGTTTTTAACAGAACTTCAATGCTGTTCATTTGAAGCTGACGACCTTGTTTGATTTTAATGGGCTGAAGTGTACAAGACCTATGAAATTTCTCCTGTTTTTTATTATTCAAACAAGCGTCAGGGATAGCGCCAAACGGTGTGTTCTCAAATAGATCTTAACCAAGAATAACCTAGGATGACAAACATAAGTAAGGAGGTGTTGTGAGTCTTCTTATTTTGGCCGTTAGGCTTCACCAGTGGTGACATTGGGTGTCGTACCTGGAATGTTATATTGCGTGGCGTCCGGTTGCATAATATTTAACGTTGCGTCTGGCAGTACAACTGTGCTTCTCCTTTGTTGGAGGAGGGCGTTCAGATGCCACTGCAGCTGTAGAGTGTTGAGGCTGACTCATGGTCGTGTCCTGCTTTCAGGCCATGCAGATCAACTTCAGTCGCATTGCTCTGTCAGACTTGATGGAAGCGGCCAGGAATACTGCTCAGCTGAACGCCCAGATCATGAGCGTTTCGTCTGGACTGGCTCGACCCTGCGACTATGGGCGACAGTTACCCAACAGAACCAAGAACAGATACGCTAATCTTATTGCGTGTGGGTTTGATTTGCTCATCACGACCGAATTGTACTGGCCGGTATTGCATTTGCGTTGCTCAGTTGTGTTGTCGAACTCATCCATGTTTCGTCTCATGCACGCACTTAGGTATTTGGCTGCCTGCGTATATGCAGGGTGTTAATGGATGGCAGAAGTATACCCTTATCGGCACATTCTTGGTCATCCCACCACAATCATGTATGTCGTATCAAGATAGTGAGCCATAATTTGCTCCAAGCTTTCGAAGAAGAATCATAGGCATCAGGGCAAAATAACCCAATTATTCACCGAGCTATTTCAATGCTTGTCTGCTTATTTCGTATTTTATGTGCATTATCTGCACCTGTCTTAACATATAGGTTCTGTATCAGATGACGACTCGCGTGTAATCCTGGACAAGATGCCTGAAGATGACTATTCCGACTATATCAACGCCAACTATGTCGATGTGAGTAGCATAGCCTGGCTTTTCACGAAAGTCTTGAGCTAAGGTTGGGCTCAGACAAAGAAGCCTTGAAAACTAGTGTGGCATGTTACCCCCGGCAGTCACATACATATTGAACGGCTCACTTTGATGTCCCCGTTATGACTGGTTAAGAGGATATGAGGAACTGAATTTTGCTTTTGACATACGAACGATTGCATAGACACCAAAAAAATGCTAGCACAGCTGTTTACCTGGTGCTGTAAACTACGATAATAATAAGAAAGCGCATGTAGTAATCACAGATGAACGTTGATGTAAACAGGATATAAAACACGGACCGTGCTCGCAATGAGCACTCCCCACAGAGGATCTGTCAGCACGCCCTGGAAAGTGGAAGGGGTGAAATATGTTCCTTACGCTTTGTTTGCTATATCCAAAGCTAGACACTCGTGAGAGTAAATAATATTTTGTGCATAATGAACTCGTACTTTTCGGGTCGTGGTAGCCATAGGTCAGGTAGCTTAGGTTAAAAGTGGTAACCAGTCGTCGGCGTATGCCCGCAGTCAATTATAAACGAAATGCTCAATATCAAAGTCCTCAACACGCTTACGCGGCACCCGAATTGCCTTCAGCTAGGCAACAAATGAAGCATGAACAGCGATGGATGATTAAGGCATAATTGCAGATATGTCGGATCAAACTGGAACTAATTTAACTCTGGTGAGTGACAGATTCAGCGCATGGCACGTTTCGCCCCTGTGATTCTTCAATTACGCTCCATCAGCCCCAATCCCTTCCCCTCCGTTTCCGCCATGCATAGCGTGAGAAATAGCCGGCTCCTCTTTGCTGCTATAGGCAACAATTCAAATTTTTCTGTCTTAATTTGAATTGTTTTCATTATACACGTGTCCAAGAGGCAAGTTGCATACCCTTCACTCGGGTGGGCATCAGTTTGACCCCCTTGAAATCTCAAAAACTAAAAGTGCTAGAGATTTAATATTTACATGGAACTCCCCTGTGTCAAAAGTTGAGAATTTTTGGTCAAGGCCTCGGTGTCAAGGTCAAACTCCAGATTGATGTCCAAAATGCACTCAGACCTCCTCATTCAATCGACTTGAACATAGATACCTGTTCTAAGCGAAAGGTCACTGAACATCTAAGGTCAGTGGCCTTTTTTACCCTAACAGGGTCAAGATGACCAAAAATCTACAGGATTGCTTCTATTTTGTCAGTTGAATAAGCATCAGGGATTACGCCACACAGTATGTTTCTAGAACAAAATGTTTACCTAGGTCATTGTAGGTCACAGACGTTCTCTGACCGTAAAGAAGTCCTTGGAACATGTCTGTTGTGCCTCTTGTTATTAACACATTCAAAATGAGCACCGGAAAATACACTATTCGCAAGCTCTGGAATAAAAAAGCAGGTTAACTTTGTCCTCAGTCTGTCTCTCATGCGGGATCCTAGGTCTGGGCAATTTGTTGCACTCATAAATACAGTTCATGCATTGCCTAACAAATTATATCAGAGATGCATGGGTTCATCTATGACATTCCGTTGCCGCATCAGATTGAATGATTCCTGAGAATGGCCCTCGCTGACAGGCATGGCCTGACTTGGACCTCTGATACGTCAGCGACATGGTCCATCTAGTGATTTTTGAAACCAAAATATCTGCTATTAAATTACCCTCAGCTCCACTTAAGCGTGGCTACGCCGTGCCGTTGGGAAATCATTCTGGGAAAAAGCCTTCGACAGCGTCAAGCTGATCCCCAGTTGAAAGCACGTTAACGGTTGCACGTACAGTTGAAAATTAGACAGGCTAATCATGCGCAAACGAACAACGACGACGCTCTGAACAGCAGGCTAGGGCCAAGACCGTTCTGCAATTGTTCAAGAACAAGCATATGTGTACTGTTGGCATTCGTCACAAAACTACCAGCATGAGCTCTTTTCACAGGGCAACGCCAGACTACTGTCTGAAAACGCAGATGATATTTATGAAAGGCGCAGATGAAAGACAAGGCCCATCGCTGTTGTTTTGTGCATTTCTAGTGTTGCAGTTGCAATAAACTGGGAAGGAATGTACCGCATTCTGGACCGTGGAGGGATTATATGAGCTGATGAGAGATGCCAGTCATATGTACACTCGCATGTGACCTAACCACGTGCTTCCACCATCCTTGATGCAGGGGTACGAACGGTCTGAAGCCTACATCGCCACACAAGGTCCAAAGCTCGAGACAATCTTCGACTTTTGGCGGATGGTGTGGCAGAAACGGACGGAACGGATTGTCATGCTGACAAACCTGGTGGAGGGAGGCAAGAGGAAGTGCGACCAATACTGGCCGGAAGAGGTGCCTCTCCAGCTGCCTGAGATGGTCATAATTAGAGACAGCGAGCAGGTGTCAAACGATTACACCATCAGGACCTTCACGGTCGTGAAGGGCGACGCCAGAAGGACGGTATGTTTTTGTTGATATCGTGTGCAACTATGGTGGGTTACCATAAACCAATTGGTATTTGCTGTGCATTGCCTCATGCGTGAACTGGGTACCCGACAGAATGTGGGTGCGTTCATGAACGCATGACCCTCAGCGGCCCGCCAGGCTACTGCCCAGCCTCTACAACGGCACATAGTTTTCGCCTTGTGAGGTGCTCATGAGACCCGTGCTGGGGGCCACGTTGTGAAAAACCCGACCTGGTGTCTTTGTCGGCAACCATGGAGTCATTGATTGTGAAAATCGTGTATCGCATGAAACCGTCGATGTGTCGTTGAAATATTGGCGGTGGTGTTGTCTGCGCTCCTTGTTGCACAGTAACTATCGCATGTCAGCTCATGCTCCGTTCTCGATCCGTCGATCCACGAATCTAGTTCTCTTTGATAACAAAAGATGTTTCAAAAGTTCCCCATCAGTTACATAATGTGCTCTTTCTACAGAAAGATGTTGCTTTCTATCAAATGGACGCATTCATAATCGTAACATCTCAGCCATGGACCGTCAGGTGGCCGTTTATGGAATCCAGTTAAGATTGCAGTATTATTATTATATATATATATATATATATATATATATATATATATATATATATATATATCACAATATTATACAGAGCTGCCGTATTAAAACCCGTGTTATGAAAGTTAACTGATCATCTGGGTGAGCACCAGAGTGGAGCACCTCCCCGTGGTGACTGCAGGTCACGCAGGTCACGCAGGTCATGCAGCTCCTCGTGGTGACTGCAGGTCACGCGAGACACGCAGGTCATGCAGCTCCTCGTGGTGACTGCAGGTCACGCAAGTCACGCAGGTCATGCAGCTCCTCGTGGTGACTGCAGGTCACGCAGCTGCGCAGATCCGCAGGCCACACAGGTTGCGCAGCTCCGCAGGTCACACAGATCGCGCAGGTCACGCAGGTCACTCAGCTCCCCCTGGTGTCTGCAGGTCACGCAGCTCCACTACACCGCCTGGCCGGACCACAGCGTGCCCATGTATCCGTCCTCGCTGACCAAGTTCATGCGGGAACTGGACGCCATCCCTGATGGGGGATCGCCAACTGTCGTCCACTGCAGGTGTGCATATTGTGACGGATCAGGGATTGACGGTCGCTCATGCCACGAGGGTCGTGTCTGGCGCTTCATGTGAAAAACAAGGGACGTGTTCGCTGTTACTTAGCATCCTCATCCTGCTCGTGCGCGATTGTCTTTTCGAAGGTTTTCTCTTCATGCATCCACGGCATGTGTCTCAGCTTTGATGGACGTGGTCTTCTCATTGCTTCTAAGATGGGACGTGCTATTATTTCCGAAACAATCTCGCACATCGTAATGTAGCAGCTCAGTGAATCTTATTTCAGATGTATTTTCGCTGTTCGATTATGCATCCTTATGATTGGTGATCACATTGCCAACAACTGAGCACAACTTGTATGCTGCTTTCCGGTGATTGCTATTTTAAGAATCTGAACAGAAATACATCATTATTACAAAAGGTTTAAATAAATGATTGCCAGCGCGTAACTAGCACGCATTCTTCATGTGTTCATGGTTTTTAAGATCTCTTCTCAAATATCAAGGCTCGCCAGACCCCAATGATACCTCACAGACCTCGCAGGCCCACTGCGCCGCGAACGCTCTTTAATTCAACGGCTGTTGCTGTAAAATGCTATAACTGAGAATGATGGGAGATATTGCAAGATGTGTGCGCACCACTCGCCACTCTCGTCTTTCCAAAGACTGGCCATTCGCGCTCCCAATCGGCTCCCTTCGAGCTGCAGGTAGCCCGAGAGCGGAAATTCGATGGCTGAGCAGTGGGCCGCTGTGCCCGCTCGTTGCAGTGCCGGCGTCGGTCGGACCGGCACGGTGATCCTGATCGACGTCATGCACCAGATGGGCCGCCGCGAGCAGGCGGTGGACGTGTACTCGCACCTGGTGGTGATGCGGCAGCAGCGCGCCAACCTGTGCGCCAACCAGCACCAGTACAAGCTGGTGCACCAGGTGCTGGTGCAGCTGCTGGTGGCGCCCGACACGGCTCTGCCGGCTACCCAGCTGGCCGTCCGACTGCCGCAGCTCAAGTCGGTGGCGGACGGGCCCTCCCAACTGGAGCAGCAGATGACCTTTCTCGACACCAACCCGCCTGAGGTCTCTTTCTCCAGCGCGCTGGCTGAACAGCTGCAGGGCAAGAACCGCTCGCCGGAGATTCTGCCAGGTGAGGTCGGGTCTGCACTGTCGATGACAGCCAATCGTGGTGTCCGTATCGCGCTCATAAATTTTGTGACGAGTCTTACAAGTTGACTTCGTTTTGCGTTCTTCGGCTGAACGATGTTGACGTTTTCAGAGGACAAGAGCCGGGTATTCCTGCAAGGGAATCTACAGGACAACTACATAAATGCGATCTACGTTCAGGGTTTCAAGACGCCAGACGCCTTTATTGCCACTGAAGCACCTCTGCCAGGAAGACGAGGCAAGATCTGGCAAATGGTCACCCAGAAACAAGTCCACACCATTGTTGTGATGAGTGATCTGGAAAGCGAGGACGTAAGTGCTCTTGAAAGTTCCAAACTGTGCGCTTGATTTACAGTGTCATGAATTTGTTGTTCGACGTTGATCATCGTTGGTCAATTAATTAATTGGGTTTCATCAGGTGCGTACAGCTGGATGCAGTTAAATATTCTGTGATACTTTCTATATGTGTACAGATATACGTGTCATACGAGCTAGTTTCGAGGATTATTTCGTGCTTCACACAGCTTTTTGAGCTCGTACAAGTCCCATCTAGTTACCTATAAGCGATGTGGCATCACTCGCAGTTCCAACGGCCTGGTCGACTGTAAACATTGTTCCTCACCTGACACAATGGACGGTCATGTATCATTATTATTTGTACCATTTGAGTACGAATTAAATATTTGAGTTCAAGCAGCACTGCACACATTACGCCACTGCATCGGTGCCAGCGATGTGCCCTGTAAGCCGCCTGTTGGGAGCCTGATGCGTGGCATTTCGGCCCAGGAGGTGAAGCCAAATAAATTGAAGAGGCATGATGAAATAGATTCGATTATGCTCAGAAAACCTGAAAATGCCTGTCATTGTCATATAGTGTGATATGATCTCAGTCACTTTCAAAAATAGCGATTTCCCTGGACTCGACGATAGCGGATGTAGTTCCCATCTCCCAAAAACATTACACAGTTATCGTAGAAAACTACAGACCAGCAGTTATTGGAGATAAACGCCCTGGCTGTAGACAAGGGCGTACATATCTATGAAGTCATTATGCAATCAATGTCGAGTCTTTTATGTTCATGTCAAAGCTTGTTGGGCCTTTTTGATTTTGTAACGAATTATTTCCATAAGGGAAACCTAGTTCATGCAGCGTATCTTAATGTAAACATTACTTTTGATGTGGTTCATCACTCAAAACGTTAAATTGAACTTCCGCATCATGGTATTTCTGGTAGCTCGTAAGCTTGGTAAAATTGTAAGTTCGCATAATGGTATTTCTAGTAGCTTGTAAGCTTGATAGAATTGTAACTGTTAGGACGACAGCAAAGTGTAATGTTCACTGATTTCAACTCTTCGTGGCAGGATGTTTTTGGTCGGGTTTTACATTGCTCGGTTTCTGGGCTCACGGGTCATTTGTGTTGTAATATTGAAATTACTTTAGACAGCAGGTGTATGAAGTTCGCAAATTATTTGAAAGTGTTCCGTGCAACTAAACGCAAACTGACTGTGCCCTTGACCTGCGACAGCTTGATTTAGGCAAACTTATTGAGTGATCTGGAACACGGCAGTGAACTTGGACTCATAAAAGCACATCGTCATAGATATGGTTGGAAAACATGTTATATTTTTCATGCGTTCTGGGCTGTCAAGAATTTGCTGTGATCGGAGAAGAACAGCCGCAAGTTTTATTCTTAGCATTAGCTAGCTGCGTCTGATCAGGCTGCAGCGGTGATGCAAAAACAAATGTAGAATATTCGGAGCATTGTTTACAATGCGTTTTCAAAACGAAGTCATTAGAAAACTAAACTTTACGGCATGCGTGAGGCCATGTAAGGAACTCTGTGTCCAGACTGTGTCTCCAAGTTATGGAGGGTTGTTCGTTTTAAAGAATGTACCAAATGGAACAAATAGAATGGTCAATGTGCTTGAAATTGTGTCTTATAAACAGATATAAATGATACTGAATATATTTTCGCTGAAATATTCGGGCCTCAGGGAGTACCTCACTTATTTTTCGATCGTCAGGAAAAAGGCTTTCTGAGTGCACCTTTGCGTGTAATAGGAAAAAATAAAGTAAGAAAACATCAAAACATGATCATAACAAAACCATTCCAAAAGCAGGACCAGATTGCGACATTGTTTTCTCACGGATTTGTTAGTAAATCATAGCAATAAGCTTCCTGGGAGCTTGCCATTGTCATCTTGCTCAGTGTTTTTTTTCTTAATATTGGTCAAGTACTTCATGGAAAGAAGAACAGCTTTCAGAATTTTATCGGTTCTACCGAAACAGGAATATTTCAAACTCTAAGCATTTATCAATTAAACATTTGAAATTCGTTTTTTTCTGCTACATTTCTACGAACTATATTTGATTTGCCCGGTGGAAAACTGCAACTTAGACCAGATTGCTCATTTAACACTTATGATTTGATTCTTCTTGACTATATGTCTGGTAGAAGACCACTTGTGCTGGCCACCGTGTGGCAGACATCTGCGTTTGCGTTATGAGGCCTCATTTATGGTCTCTATGCAGTGCAATGGGAAATTACCTATCTGTTTTCCAGATGTTCTGGCCGGCCATTGGAGAAGCAGTCACTTACGGCAACACAACGGTGAAGACTAAAAGTTCGTCCTTTTCCGGAATGGTGGAGATCATCGTCATTGTGTGGAAAACGTTCAACAAAGACGGGGTACGGTTAGCGGGGCAGAAGCGACATTTTTTCCTAGGGGCGGGGAGACAAGGAGAGAGAGAACATGGCCTGGACCTAGATTGTTTGTTGGTCGGGTGTGTCGTCTTCGTATTGATTCAGTCTTCCGGGGATGGGGGGGGGGGCTAGGGCACATGTGGCCCGTCATTTTTTGACACTTCCACAGGCTAGTGAAGTTATTGGAACTTATTGGAGGTTGCGGGCCAGAAGATAGATAGATAGATAGAGAACGACGGCAGCCAGTACTGAAACATGCGTGGCAAACGAATCTGTTCACGCGGATGTTCTGCGTCCTGCCTGTGCCGCTGTTCTGCAGTCTCGTGCTGTTTGCTGAGCTGCCATGCAGTTATCCCGTGCGCAATCGTCCCGCTATTTGATGCTCGAAGGCTGCGGCCGTGCATTCCCGTACTCTGTGCGTGCGTGCGTGCGTGCGTGCGTGCGTGCGTGCGTTTGTGTGTGGGGGGGAGGGGGGCGTGCGTGCGTGCGCGCGCGCGGTCCCACGGGCTATATTCGGTACTCGCGTTGTACTGCAGACCCATACTAGGCGTATGCGAGGCTGCACAACGCTATGCGCGTTACACACGCGCGTTATGCTGCAACTCCATCCCGATGCGTGTCGCTGTCCTGCAGCCCGACAGCCGGTGTGTGTGTTGTCCCGCAGTCCATGCCATCGAAGGAGGTCCGTCTGTTCCGGCTGCCGGCTGGTGAGGTCCGCGACGACCTGCCTTCGCCCGGGACACTGGTTCAGCTGTACTCTACCTACGCCAGAGCTCGGCCCGAGAACCGAGGCCGACCCACGGTGGTGGTGTGCAGGTGAATTCACCGGGCACACCACAGACGACTAGTGTCCAAACCAGTCACTGCCGGTTGCTTGCTAGGATGTACTCGGAGCCCAACAGCCACGTTGAGTGGAATACATCATGAGTTTTCCGCCACACTGGAAACTCGGAAACCGTTTTGATATTTTATCGAGTCAAATCAGCATTGACGTAATGCGTCAGGGGAACAGACATTCACGCTCCAGGAAAGAGAGTGGGCTGGGTCAGGGTGGGAACCGTATGAAATTCTGAAGCGAACCAAGGGCCAAGTTTTTTTAACCCTATGAACTTCAGAATGGTAAGCGTGAGAGAAACGTGTGTTTTTACACGGAAGACCCTCGGGACCAGCGACAAAGTCTAAGAAGATCTGAGATCGTTGTCAAGGGGCCCCGGACCGTAGGACCGGACCCTCAAATGTCAGACAGAGGGCCTTCTGCGCCTACCTGGTCCCCTGGGATAATGCGAGCCCGTATATCCGTAAGAGACCACCAGCACCTAACAGTCGGCCCCATGTCGCTCGGGAACCTGAGAGCCCATTTGTCATTCAGGGACAAGGCCGGGATCCGTGATTTACATGGGTCAGGGCCCCTTTTGATAATTTTAATCACGAGGGTTTATTGTGTCTATCAAGCGCCCACAGTGCCCTGTGTTGGCAAAACGATTCCAGTCGGCGAAGAGCATATTTTTTGGGCAGTGACAGGAACATGGTACCCAAATGTCAAAGGACCTCTTGCGCTGAACAGGAAGCTCTGACATTGAAATGAGATCTGAGAACCGGCGACAAAGCAGTTACCAATGAGAGAAGGGAAGGAACCTGTGTCAGTTACCGTAACTATTGTTGAAGAGGCTCTCCGCCCAATTTTACATGGGGGCTGGATAGGGGAACTGGATACCTTGTGCCAATACTTGGATTGTTACGCCGTTAAGGGATGCTTCTCCTTCTGTGAGGGCCTCGTCGTCGATCTGGATTTAGATTGCCAGGTCAGAGGGTCTACCTATCAGGGAAGGGACTGTCAGAAATATCATTTCATCGTGTTTTTATGTTTTCCAATGAGAGCTTTCGAATCAACCGGTTTGCCTCGGCCACCTTTTTGTCACAGTGACAGTAGGTGGTTTCCACAGGTTGTGACGGAAAATCGTTTTTGGATCTCTCTGCGGGTCGAATTTCCGCCAACACCTGGATAAAGACCGGATCGGATTTCCGAATTTACCAGCTCACACGGATTGAACGGACTGAAAACCAATCTGAGGAAAATTATCACAAGATGAGACAGTATTATTAATTAGCCTTATTTCTCGGAAGAAGAAAAAACAGGAGAATGGAGATATACTTAGGGTGATATTTCGGCGACATGCCTTTATCGAAACAATAGCAGAAGTCTCGTCAGAAGTCAGAAGCGAAGGGCATATTTGTTGAACAGTGACAAGTCAGAAGTGACTTCTGCTATTGTTGCGATAAAAGCATGTTGCCGAAATATCAACCGAACTATATTTCCATTCTCCTGGTTTTTCTCCGAGGAACAGGGTTATCGCTTCTGTCTCATCTATGCGAACAATCTTCCTCGCTAATGCACTGAACAACTCATGAAATTAACACTAAATTGCTCCTGAAATTCTCAATGGCGTTATCACCTGAATTTTTTTAAAACCAACAAAATACACTAGTTTTAATGCAAAACAATGCACAAAGAGACCACATAGTATATATATATATATATATATATATATATATATCAGTCACATATACCCACAAACAATTTTTTAATAAAATGAATGAGTGGCACTCATATATGTTCCTATGGAAAACTCTAGCTCTCGTTCCTTTCTTGGTGAAGAAAATGTCGAATGATCTACAAACCTATGCTATCATCACGTTATGTATGCATATATGTATGTATATATGCATACATATATGCAGGTATATATATATATATATATTCATATTTATATGTATATATATATATATATATATATATATATATATATTCATATATATATATATATATATATATATATATATATACAAACCATGTATAGTAATGATACCTTCGATGGCGCCGAAAATTTCAGAACTGTATTACAATTGTTTTTGCCAGATTATTACCTCATCACACGTCGCCAGCAGCAGACTGCTAGTTTTCACGAAGTGTTTCTGCTTTTCCATATCATCAGGCACAGTCATCCTCTGCACTGACGTTACGTGTTGTCTGTCGACGCCATACCTCGTGTTGTCTGTCGACGCCATACCTCGTGGCAGATCGTGCAACGGGCGATCAGCTGAACATCTTGTTACCGAATATCGTGCTCATGCTTAGTGCTCTGCGCAACGCACACTAAACGCCAACTGCGCCACTGCGAAGGCTGGACAGGCCTCTAGCGAGCGATGTGCGCTCCTCAGGACGGGTGTGACGCTGTGCGGCCTGTTCCTGGCCTGCGCATTCGTGCTGGACCGGTTGGCGGAGGAGCAGGAGGTGGACGTGGTAATGGCCGTCTCCGTCATACGGCAGAGTCGTCCCCAGTTCATCGCCAGTGTGGTAAGGCGTGCTAGTGCCGTCCGCTGGACAGTCCCTCACGTAAACACGTCACGCAAGGTACGATCGTGTTGAGCACTCTGCTGATAGGGTTATGTGTTGGAAGCTGTTGTGATAGCTGAAACCTGCTATGGAGCACACGGAATCTTTCAATTCTGACTGCAGTACACACGAATTTATCGCACAGTTGAAATGCGTCACGTTATTTGGCAAATTCCTGGGTGAACGCATCAGTATGTGACCCGAAACCACCAAAAAAACTACGCAGCTTGTTGACCCGCCAAATTTACCATGGTCTTATCTGCATCAATGGCAATGCACAAAGGGAATGTGATTTTTAACAAATGTTGTAAAACGAGGGCCCCAGGGTGTCCACCATCATGCTACTATTTCATTACGACAGTGCTGTTTTAACCCCCATCCGTTTCCTTTCAGAAACAGCTGGAGCTGTGCTACGACGTGGCCCTGGCCTGGCTGGAGGCCTTTGAAATATATTCAAACTTCCAGTGATGACTTCCGTGCTCACATCGTGTGCTGCGACCGCCGCACAGCTCAGGCACTCCATGCTAGGCTGGCCCGGTTGCTCCGTGGCTCAACAACCGCCTGGTGTTGCCGCAGACTGACCCGGGTAGGCGTGGCCGGCGGATGGGTTCGATCCTCCGGTACAGGTGGACTGCAGCCCAAAGTGCTCCTTTTCATCTCTGCTCGTGATTTTCCAGCATGGACGCAGAGGGGTGCTGCAAGACCCTCCAAAGAGAAGCAGGGTGACGAGTGATGTGTGTCTGCGCGCACAAGGGTACGGCGTGGCAAAGGCTATCGGGCTGTCATCGTCCGGTGTGCCGTTGTGTTTTGGAAGAGTTCTGTCAATAGCAACATGCTGCGTGTGTGCTTGTGCTTCTGCTGTATATATGTGTACCTGTTTGACTTCCAATAATTGGCCTAAGACTGCCCGGTCATCATTTCGCCCTTTGTAGGCCAAGTTAGGTCGAGTTAGCGAGATTGTTCTGTGATGCGCTATGCCTGGTCTCTGAATCATCGCTTAATGTGTACGGGGCTTATGTGCTTGATGAATGCAAACAACACGCTCAAACGGACGCAAGTCATTGGACTGCTCTGATTTCATCAACATGCTTAATCAAGTTGTCAATCGATCGCTCCTACCGTCATCCTCTTGAGCCTAGTTACGGCATTGTATGGACATGTTGTTTTGCTAAGCTGTTGCTGTATATAGTGTTACTTTTGATTACATTTTTTACCACATGTCGCGCTGGCATGCTGTTAACAGCGTTTGAGTGAGCCATGCTTTACTTGCTTCCACAAAATACATGAATGATATCACACAGATCTTCTCCATATGGGCATCCTGGCTGACTAACAGCCGCCTTGCTTAACTGCCTTTACCCAGACGGCGTACGTAAGTGCGCATTGTGTTGAGCCGAGAGCAACATTCTTGTATCGCATCTCTCCGTACTTTGAAGCATATAACTCTCAAAATGAGCGCACGTTTAAGCTGGGCTCCCTCCATGGACGGGCTACATCAGGTGTGTAAAGTCTTACAGGCCGAAGTTCGGGATGGACCTCACCGTAGAGCAGCCTGATGAGGATGGATGGGTTGATGAAGGAGCGCATGTTGGTCTGGAATGCGTCAACAGCCTGGTATTTTTCATGTACTAAATAATTATACGCCATATATTACCTAAGAACACATGATAGGGATGCTCGTTATGTTGTTTCCGGCACGAAGTCAAATGGATGAGCCAGATCTGCTGGAAGAAAAGATGCAGCAACAATCCAGCTCATCAATGCTGCGACATGCGTGCACGGAACGCGTGGCGACATGGGGTACGAGGGAAAAGTACTGGATAGCGATGGAATGAGGAGAGTGTGTCTACCCGAGAAGCGGAATTCAGTGGTAGGAGAATTACACCGAATTCACCTTTTGACTCGGAGGACTCGTGGCAATGAGGTTAGTTGGCTTTGACCTTGAGATTAGCTGACCTTGTTAGCTGACTGGCGGTTTGTGAGGCCACCAGACGTGGAGACCCACAACGGCCGAACTATTCCATCGACGCTTGGAATGATTTCAGTGCCTTGCCAAGGGCCAAAACCCATGTGGCTTCCCCTATTCGACCACGATCAAAGTCCCCGGCACCAGGTTACGCTTTTCGTAGTCACTTTTTCCACTGGATCAACGGGGCATGCATTCCATTTGAACCTGCGCTGGACCTTGTCGCCAAGCGCCTGCAATTATAAGAAGTAGGGTCAAATACCGGCATTTTTTGTGCGTTGTAGAAGGCATGGTTTGTTTCTGTTCTTAACACGCACCCGGGTGGCCGGTTGGATACCCTTCGCTTGGGTGGGGGTTAAGTTGACCCTTCTAAGTTCTCATCAACTAAGAGAGTTAGAGGTACCAAATTCACAGGGTGTGTTAACATCTACGTAAACTCACTTAGGTCCAAATTTCAGGTTCTTAGTTCATATACTTTGGGTCAAATAGGGTCAAACAAGGTCAAGCTCCAGGTTGGTCTTCTAAGGGCTCCTAGAATCTAAATAACTGTTCTAAGCAAAAGATCACATGCTCACTTAAGGTCTGTGACCTTTTAGTGATCATGATGACCAAAATCATACAAGACTGTCTTGATTTTTGCATTTGAATAAGCGACAACGATTACGCTAGGCGGTATGTTCCTAAAAACAAAACGTCGGCACGAGTCATTTTAGGTCAGTGACCTGTTCTAACCTTAAATAAGTACATGAGGTGTAAAATACGGTTCCTGTTATCAATAAATTCGAAATGAGCACCTGAAACTACCCCATGCAGCAAGCCCAATAAAACAGGTTGGTTTTGACCTTGGTCTGAGCTTCATACATAACTCTAGGTCACTGCAATTTGTTCATTCAATTATTTTGTTGTCCAAGAAAGTGTCTCAGAGCTGTATGCCTTTCGTTAAACGCTCCCTTGTTGAATCAGATTGAACGATTCCCTAGAAATTGCCTGGGCCGAAAATATGGTCTGACTTTGATTTGTCATAGGTCAGCGACCTTACAGGGGGCAACTAAATTTTTATGCCAGACGATCCGCTTATCAGTTAACTACAACTACACAGTCCGCGGCGTTCGGAACCCATTCCGAGAAAACCTTCGGGGGGAGGTCAAGCTGCCCCCCGCCCACCCGAGCGCGTTTTAAGATGGCTTGATGGATGCTTACAGCCGCCTGTGTTGGAACTGATGAGGGAATTATAGGATTGGAATTGATCCGAAGTCATCGGCAACGCACAGGACCTATGGGCAGGCCAATTGCGCAGCACATAAACGATGATTTCAGTCAATCTGGGGATATTGCGGCAAAGCAGCAATTTTATGATATCTACAGACATTCGACTAACCACCCTTGCAGCAGGTCATATGCTGCAGGTGCCAAAAGTGGATGCTTAGAACGATCGGGACAATATCGTAAGTCGTTCAGTGCATTAGCGGGGAACCTTACTCACACAGGTAAGACCGTAGCGATAGGCTTTTCCTCGAAGAAAAGCTAGGAGAATGGAGATATAGATGGGTTGACATTTTAACAACACGCCTTTATCAAAACATTAGCAGAAGTGAATTCAAAATTGTGTAATGGTTTCGATCAAGGCATGCTGCCGAAATATTAATTCATCTATTTTTCCATTCTACTGATTTTTATTCGAGGAATAAGGCCATCACTAGTGTCTTATCTATGTGAATAATTTTCTTCGCTAATGCACTGAGCCTTTTACGTAATTGTATCGATCGTTTCAAGCATAGAGATACAGATGGATTGATATTTCGGCAACATGCCTTGATCAAAACAATAAAACAATTCTGAATTCACTTGTGCTATTGTTTCGATGAAGGCCTGTTGCCAAAATATCAGCACATCTATATCTCCATTCTCTTGGTTTTTCTTCGAGAAAGAGGGCTATCACCACTGTCTTATTTACGACCGATGCAAGATTACATGCAGGCAAGCAATGGGCATATGCACATGAATGCATTCCCCAATGCCCAATTGGCAGCTGTAACGAGTGTAAGCAAGATCCCTCTGGGGCAGAATTGCAGTGAACATAAACATTTTGGTTCACCCTTCCCACATGATTGATGTGCTTTTTCTTGTAGCCTGCTCCTTACCGTTCATTTTTGAATTGTAAGGAACGACAGTGATGCAGCTTTCATATCATATTGTGCATTTGCTTACACAAAGAGACGTTACGTAAGACGTAAGGAAGTTAGACGCAAGACGTTAGCTTGAATTAAACGTAACATGGACCAAACGTATTGTGTTGCACACCAATAGAGGTTTGCTGGACTAGCCTTATTGCATGTGTCGAACGCAGATTAAGTTGATTCGAGGGGGCCGGCTTTTCTCAGCATAACAGCTTGCGCATCAAAAACACATCAAAACATCAAAACATTAAAAGCGCTATTCGGTTTGCCTGGCAGATGTGTGTTACAAGGCGTGGGACGCGAACCCCCAGGTCGGTGCCAGTACTGCGCTGGCGGAACAGCCTGGTCCCGGCGAACTGGTAAGATATGGTAAACCGGAGCCGTCGTCAGATCCAAACATGACCCGCGAACCTGACCTCAAGGCTATAGTCGGCTCTTCCAAACTGTGCACCTCCGAATGCTGGCCGTATTTGCGGTCTAGTCCCTCCAAGTCACCAGACACCACTGGCCAGCTCTCTTGATCAATAGCTTTGAACACGCGGGAATCAATGCAATTTTTAAATGGCATCTCAACGGAGGCAACTATGTTGGCTAAATTACCAACAAAACAAAGCAATCTGGCTATATGCGCGTACTTTGTGGGAAAGCAGTTTAAGGTCATTGGCCTATTCAGCTGGTCAAATTAGGTCACTGACCCCAATCTTCTCTCAAAGCGTGAAGCCCTAGTCCGTAATCCCTACCACCTATCCTCTGGAGCTCGGTCACCCCCGCACAGCACCACGCCGTGTTCCGCGTCGCTCCAGCGGCAGCGGCGGCAGCACCTACGGACTGCGGACGGGTCGGTGAGCACTGCCGACGGCGCCTTGTGCCGCCACGGACTATGCGTGGGGGATGCCGGTAGCGCCATCTTTGCCTGCCACCCCAGCTACATCAGCACCCTCTGCGTGGAAGGACTCACATTGCTTTCCGTTAAAGGGAGTGTTCCACATGTGTATGGGATTTTAAACTAACATGGCCATCTTGAATACCATTCGGTGCAGTTTACAGCCCTGTCCTCCGTAGGACCCAAACCGCTCTAGCTTCTGAGCCACACGCCCGCGAAGAAGTGCAGACCATTTCGTGCGGCTAAGGTAGCTCAGCCGCCAGCGCTCGCGCTTAGTTGGCGCTAGCGGCCCAGGCAGTGGCCAGGTAGGTATTGTCACTGGGCATCTGCTGGGCCTGACAGAACAGGTCCACCGACTATGGAGCATCCAGGCGAAAGTGATGTTCTCGTCCGCATTCCGGCTGACCAGGCCAACGGCGCGTGGGGACTGTAAACCAACGGTCTTCACCACCACCCAGCCGGGGGTCTCAGACAACCGCAACCAGCCTGAAGAAGTTGACTCCCCACCTCCAGAATCTTCAGCTTTCAGTTGTCTTACCGGAAAAGCAAATATGCCGCTGTTAAATCTTGGTAAGTCATGAAGAACACACACCAACTTTCGACCTTAGGCCAAATGTGAGGTTGCGCTCTCGTCGTTTTCTTCGGCGACGCAAGAGAAGGGTGGCATAATACTTCAGCTGTGTCATCTCCGTGACCATACCGCACAACACTTTTTGGTGCCACCAATCGGTGGCCTTACTCGTTGAGGTGTTGACCTCGTACCGCTATAGGGTCACCAGAGGCCACGAAATGAAAAAACGATCGTTCTGATGAATGCAGTTGAAACATGTGGTCATACGTTAATACGGATAATTAAGGCATAGAAGTAAGCGTCAAGACTGAACGGAGCTCATTCCGACCATTTCCATTCCTCCATAGGGTCAGGTCAGGTCGGGCCACTTTTCCAAGCTGGTCTACCAGTTGCTTACAAGAACGATATCACTTTTGGTTTCGTTCACAATGTGCTTCTGACTAAGTTTATTTTGCTAGGTGCAGCTGTGAGAAAATAAAACATCCAAGACATCTAAATTCCATTTTAGCCTGACCTATGAGTGAGCTGATGTCAATCTGGAGCAAATCCATAAACAATCTAAATGGAAAATTGAGTGTTAGCCGGGTCTAGCTGACCAGTGCAATGTTTGTTGGTGGTCAGAAATAGGTGTATTATACATCCATAGGTACTCAAGATCAAATAGCTCTAATATTATACATAGTCCCATGGACGCTTGGCAATTAC